TTTATGGAAAAATATATTAAAAAATTATCTCTTAAAGTATTATTGTTCGTGTAATTACATTTAAAAGGACTTAAGGAATCACTTAAACATCATTTCATATAGATAGTTTCTTTTTATTTCCTAGATAATTACCGTCATTTTTATTTAAAAAAAAAAAAAAAAAAAAAAAAAAAGCTTTCGGGCTCTCCCCTCCAAAATTAAAACCTGGATTGGATTCGCTAGTGGGTAGCTTTGATTCAACCATAGTTATAAGCATACATGAACATTTATCAGATCTTAACTGCCATTCTACTTTGTCCTGTAAAGAAGTGAGTCATATTATCTTTATGTGTAGCCTGATTCAAGACCAAACCCAGTAATTCCTGACGTAAAGTTGTATCAATAAACTTCCCTACCAAATCTGCTTTTTAATTGTTCAATTAACTTAAGGGAATTCTTTGATGATAAAGGGAAACCTTCAACAAGTTCTAGAGCAGGAGATTTTTCAACAGTAGCCTGAAACAAATACTGAAACTTCTCCTCGCATTCGTAATGCAAGTCGCAATCCTCTGGGGGCGGGGTGGCCGAATAGGCTAAAGCGTGTGCACAGCACCGCTAGTTGCCTGGCAACCGGATAACAGAGATTTGAGATGATATAAAAAGTACGAGTTCGCGTCCCGGTGCCGGAGGGGATTTTAAATTCCCCACCCTCACCCCCCGGCCCGGGAAAATCCCGTATAGCCTAAAAGGCGAGGTAGGGAAGAACAAAAAAAAAAAAAAAGAACAAAAAAAAAAAGTCGCAATCCTCTTCTTCGGACCATCGGATAAAATCATTGTGCCTCGAAGTAAATATTTTCCCTACATTTAATTCTTTACCGATTTGTCCTTTCTCTTTTTAAATTTTCGAATGCACTCATCTTAAATTCAATGAATTAAGCTAGTTCCCCGCACTAGCGGATCCAGGATTTAATTTTGGGGGGGCTTCAGCCCGGAAGCTTTTTTTTTCATATATATAACGATAATTACGTTGGAAAAACAGAAAGATACTAACTACCCATATGAAATGGTGTTTAAGTGATTCTTGAAGCCCTACTAAATGTAATTAAACGAGCAATAATACTTTAAGACATAATTTTTTTATATTTTTTACCATAAAACATGGTTACATTTTACCATTTTGGGGGAGGCTTCAGACCGAAAGCCCTCCCCCCCTCGTAAATCCGCCTGTGGTTCCCTGCAAGGGATGCCAGTATTTCTCGTAATACAAAACAGTGAATAATAATGGTAACTTGAATAAAGTAGTGATTGAGTGCAATTTAAAAAAAAAAAAAGAACAAAAAACTATATTTCAGCAAATTTTACAAAGCAGAGTTTATAAATATACAAAATTTAATTTTAACTAATAATAATTAACATCTGTTTTTTTAAAAACCTTTTATAACAGCTGTTTTAACTGAAATTAAAAATAATACATTTCATAATCTATATATATAAAAATGAATGTATGTATGTGTCTGTCTGTCTGTCTGTCCTTTGTGCACTACTAAACCATTCATCCGATCGCCATGAAACTTTGGGAAGTTGTTCTGTACACTCCAGGAAAGGTTTCTGGCATAGTAGTTCTGTCTTACGATAATTTTATGTATGTAAAAAAAATAAAAATGTAAATGTTGTTGTGTTCAAAGCTGCAAAAAAATGTCACTATAAAGTGTAGCGCCAAAACGGCTTTACCGATTTTAACGAAACTTGGCTAAAGTCTTCCCCTTGAAACCCTTTTAATTTATGTGTATAACATACTTTCCCGAAAACAAGCTAAAAATGTTACAATGAATTCAATATTTTATTTGACGATAACTAAAAAATTACAGAATTTTTGACTGATAATACCCATATTTATATGAAACATTTCTGAATTGCTAACGAAATAAAAAAAAATCATCGAAGTCGGACGGTTCGTTGCAGAGTTATAGAGTTTTAATCATTTACTGCTTTCTCTTCAGAAAAGGCCATTTCCTTTTCCTTCCTCACTACCGAAGGTAGGCAAGCACTTTTTTTTTATTGATTAATCGAAAAAATTTTAATTACTACAGTAATTGAAATTATCATTTGAAGAAGTTATATGATTCTTCTTATATAGGTCAATACTATTATACGTTCTTTATATTAATTTTTTATTTTAGTTTTATAAGTTCAATTCATACTGTTTCTGATGATTATGAATGATGGCGTATTCACTCAGATGATTATGAATGTTCAATTGGAGTCATGAAAAAAGAAATCATTAGAATTAGTTTAAATTGAAGCCATTTTACAGACAAATTTGTTTCCCAACTTTTTAAAAATGACAGATGTCCTTTGCTATTAATTTACTGATATGTGTTTTCTATTTTCTTTCGTTTTCATTTTGCCAGGCTAAGCCACAGCAGCGCGTGGCCGGGTAAAGCTAGTGTAATATAAAAATTCAAACGTAAATAGTTAACAAATTCCCGAACAGATGTTTTTTGAGAACATTTAAACAAATATACATCTTTCTATGTTTTCAGTGATTAAATATATCGTTGATTTATTGCAAAAAGTGACTAAGTACACTTTTGGTCGATTTCAACCTGAAGTTACGTAAATTTTAATTTTGATCATATATATAACTATAATACAAATACTTTTATACGTAAAAAATAATTTCACTAAGTGTGCGATGTTCTGAGCATAAAGATAAAACAGTTACTCAATGACTTCTTTCACTGGATTATAAAACTAATTAAGTGAGGTAAGTTAAATTCACATTCTATGTACTTGTAGAGTTGTAAAAGTAAGTACAAAAGTCACTATGTGCGTCGTAGTTTCAGTGTTATGTGTACTTCAAGTATTTTAATCAAATTGTTATTTTAGTTTTTTGTTTTTTTTCAGAAGCTTTAAATTCAATTATCTCAACTCTATAAACTCAAAGTCAATAAACCGACGATATATTTTTTTTAAATTCAGAAATAAAACTTAATTCATTCTTCAAAGTACCTGATATATTGATGTATTTGTATATAGCATAGAGTTATATTTGTACTTCTATGGCGCACGAAATTGGCGGGAATTCTTCAAAAGAAAGTTTGGTATTTGAACGATATTGAAGTTATGTCAAAATGTTAGAAGATTCATCTGATGAATCCACAACCACACAAGTTATAATTCGAAAAGATCAAGAACCGAACTGGAAAAAAATTTATCTCACAGTTAATGTATGTCTGTTTAAGAGTTACAGTGGTAAACCTTTATATTTCCATGTTAATACACAGGACCTTTCACTCAAGAAGAAATATGAAGAATTGATTTGTACTTTTGGAGGTTGTGGAGTGAACTATAGTGATATTAATGTTAGAACTGCTTGCCTAGTAGAAAATAATAGTAGATTGTATGAGCAAAAACCATATTTCAAATTGTCATATTTAATTGACTGTGTAATGGCAGATGCATTGTTAAATATAAATGATTATACCCATAGCAAGTATTTAGGTAGTAATAAAGACTTTATGAAGATCTTTTTCTGGGAAAAAGGAGTGTTTGTGAAAAACATTGTTAAAAGGTATTGTGGATCATCTGATGAGTGTGATACTATTGACGAGTTTCCTCTAGACTCCAGAACAATAATCAACTGTAGAAAACTTGACAAAAATACAAGAGAACTTTTCACCAGGGATGAGAAAGAAGCCATACTAAAATTTATAATAGCTCATAAAAAGCTTGATGGGCTCAGAGGGAATCCTATATGGAAATTGATGGAAAAAAAAGGAGTATGTCCACGCCGTACTTATCAAAGCATGAAAAATCATTTTCTCAAAAAAATGGTTTTTGAGTTAGACAGTTTTGAGTTTTTATCTGAAATAGAAAAAAGTAAAATTAAGAAAACCCTTTAGTTTGTATTTAATCTCATGAAAATAATTTATGTAATAGATATGTGAAAAATGCAGTCTCACTTCATGAAAAATCCAATTTCTTTTGGAAAAAAGCTAAACTCGAGTAAATAATAGTTCACAAGTGTCACATTTTTAAGGCGATGATCAATTTCCAGATCTTCCATTGAGGTAAATTATGGAAGATGTTTACTAACAATTGAAAAAATACCATACCCTCATTGTTCATTGACAAGGGACCATCAGCCATGTTTATCCCACCCTTGAACACAGTGACTATTTTCAGATCTCCATCTAAATTGCGACACCCATAATTCAGAAATGGCACTTCTGAACTAGAACTCAATAGGTAATTGTACTGTAGAAGCAGTATTAGGAGAAGGTGTTGAATTCAAAAGTTTTAGGACTATTGGTATACTGATTCCAATATCTAATTATATATCTTTTCTAATGTTAAATAACGAGTGAATCTTGAAGTTTAATATATATATTATCTATCAGTAATCTTATAACTAGAAAAATATGTAGAAAATTCACTGCAGTAATCAATCTTCTTGTTTCTAAAACTACCAACTGATTATAAATTCATCAAATTTCAAGGTGCCTGTAAAACTTAAACTTTAGAAAAAAAAAAATGAGGTTTTGGAGTTAAGGCAGTGTTATTGTTATTGGTTACATTTTTCTTGTGTAAATAGTGATGGTGAAGTTATTACTAAGTATTTATTGTTTCATCAATAATTTGTGATTATAATTTTTAAATAAAGTAATTTTAAGCCTTGTTAAATATTGTTTCTTAATAATATAAATACATTAATTTACATTTACATACTTGGCCACCACATCATCAAAAGATCTTATATATAAGAAAAACATTTACAGAGTCCTGATATTTAGAAAAATTTATTAAATGAATGATTTGTTTCCTTTGGTAATATAAATTGCTTCTAACCATTTACAATGGCAGCTACTGAAAATTGAAGAATAATTAATTGATTTATAAATTAAAGTGTATTTAAAACATTAACATGATTTATGAATAAATTTATTAATTATTTTTTGACATTATTGATTAAATATTTATAAACAACTAAAACAAAAATAATATCTTAATAGCAAAAGTTAAATTTTTGCAAGCTTCTGTAGACATTTGACAGCTGCTTGATGTATATTTGTATCCAATTTATCTGGAAAAAATAAAACAAATATGATGCCTGGATTAACTCTCTGTTTCTTATATACTAATATTAAACATAGAAAATAATTCTATCATGTGTATAAATGTAAATTGGGACTTCTAAAATTTCGAAAAGAATTGGAATAAGGAAATGAGTGCAACGTGCCAAGGCATTGCTTAGAGTAGTGCTGCCAAAGAATGTTCACTACTTGGTACTTGGTTAGGCTGCAGGAATAAAAAAAATCTTGTGCGGCGCGTGCATCAGACAACTTTCACTTACCAACCTTAGAGTAGATAGTTATTTTCATATGTAGGGAAGTCAAAATTGAAAACAACGGCATAACTTCATTTAAAACAATTAATTATCATATATAATATTGTTAAATTTATACATTTTCTATTTCCTTTTACTGTGGGGAAAATAGATCTTTTGGAAAAATTCTGAGTTTTATCGGAAACATTTATCAGGAAAACTCGTTGAAAAAATAACTTACGTTAGTAACTATTGTATATTATTAGGTGAATATTAGTATACTCTCAACATTTCGCGTGAAAATCTTTTTAGAAATTTATAGATAAGTGATATATAAAACTTAAACCAATGAGGGGTTTCGGGAATCTGTATAAGATCAGCAAAGGTCGGGCGTTCTTTGCTGTTTCCGTATAGTTTCCAATCCTGATTTCTCTATAAGTTATCAATAAATTTTCTTCATTCATAATATTTAATAATTTTGTATATCATTTTACAATGTAAAATGGTTAATTATTTCAAATAAAAAAAATTAAAGGTACTTTATAGAGGACAAAATTTTGAAAATTAGGCATTTAAATCCTATCAATGAGTATAAGATCTCCATTATATTAAAAACGGCTTAATTTTACACCAATAATAAAATTTAATCAAAATCATTTGAGCCGTTTTCAAGAAGATTGTAAAATCAATGATATAAAGTGGCATTTCTGGTAAGCTGATTATAACAAAAAAGTTGCTGTAACATCTCAGGCATGTAAAAAGCTTATATATGCAATTTCGGTTGCCTACGACTTTTTGCTACTTGTTTTTATATTTTCTCGTTGTATATTTGTCTGCTTTTATTTAATCTTGTCAGAAATCGTAACCGAAATAATGAATAATGATGAAATAATGAGTGGCAAATTACAAAGATCTGTTGCATTCCACTTTCTATCCCAGGAACGACCATTTATCAGTAAGGACAACGTACCTTAGGTTTGTCCTTTTTCTTTAACTACTTTGATTTATCCCAAAGTTTTTGTTTTATTTTTTCCTCGAGTGTTTTAGATTTTGTTTTATCTGTTTTTAACTTATCTTTATAAAGGAATTGGAAACTTAATGGATGTCAGATACTGGAGCCTTTTGCCACTACCTTACAGACCTGTATTCTCATAAATTCAAAGAGATATACTGAATATAATGTTTTAAAAATGGGACCAATCAATCAATCTTTATTTGTTTTAAGGGAAGAATTCTATACAAATGGAGTCACAAAATAATAAACATTATTATGCTTATGGAAATACAAATTCCTTTTTATACTACATAACAGATGTTACAACACTCTTAAGCATAAATTAAAAATCATAATCGGTAAAGGTCAGACAATTAATATAATTTCCATTCAGACAATTTCCAATTATCAAATTAATATAAAATCTAAAATTGTCAACAATATACATAAATAAATACACATTTTAAAAAAAAAAAATGTTAATATTAAATTACCCTCATACCAGACTGAAACGACTAGAAACCGCCCGACATTTTCGACTACTGCAGCACTTACTAGACAAACACTCTAAGCTTTCAATCAACTACAAACGACTCATATATATGACAATAATAAGACCTATTTGGATTTACGGAATTGAGCTTTGGGGCTACGCTAAGCCATCAAATTCCTCTCGTATCCAATCCTTACAATCCAAAATCCTTCATAAAATAATCAACCTTAAAGACCTTAAATGTTCCACATGTTTCCGATTTGGTCCAATCCAGATACTTATCCTTCCATAACAAACTGCTGAACCCTCTCGTTTCAAACCTTGCTTCCTCCTCGATCTATGATAGCCCTCCGAGGCGTTTGAAAATCAGATGGCTTCGGGACCTTCTAATATAGAACTTCAATTTGAGTTCTACCAATGGCTAGTTTCTCTTCATGTTGTACATGTCATGTTACCAATGTCACATTTACTTGTTGTATTTTTCATGTAATACAGTTGTAAATTTCATTAATATATATATATATATATATATATATATATATATATATATATATATATATATATATATAAAATATATATATATATATATATATATTAAACTATGCTTTAAATGGGACCATTTATTATTCTCTCTTTAAAAACAAGTGATAATAATTTGGAATTAATGTAAAGCAAAAATAGATTTTCCTATTGCAGGTTCTTGACAGTGACCAGCATTTATTTAAGCCGAGAAACGAAATTAAGTTAGTTTTATAATAAGTTAAAAATAATTTTTGTTAATACCCATTTTGAAATGAAGAATATAAAATTTCAACACTTTATTTCGCATAATTACATCCTTCTCAGCTACTAATGCAACAAAACCATTCTATAAATTTACAATTGTTTAAAATTTAGATGGATGTTGCATGGTTTTGAAATATATCTTGGTAAGGTGAAAAATAATTCTATAAGATAAAGACAAATATAATAACATCTATATTTATGTTTTCATACACGCACACCATTTTGTGGGATTTGGTTATTTGGAAATAAGGCCCCTCAAAACATGAATTTCCGTGGAAAACTTAAGATTTGAAAATTATCACTATCGCAATACTTTTTCTTACTATTTATTACATATTACATAGTGAAAATAAAAATAAGGGTGCCTTAGTACTTAGTGCAACTCAAATTTTTAATGAGTGGTTAATTTACTCATTTATATACAAACTTAAAAATACTCAGCTAAAAGCTGATTATCATATTGTATAAATATGATTATTTTATTTTTCAATCTTTTTGTTTTATTGAAATATGCTAATAAAGGATTATTATTACTATGAAATGGGAATTTGATACCTAGACATGACAGTTTAAAAAATATTAAGGTGTGTGCTTTAGACCACACAATAGAAATGAAAACATCAAGAAGGCGAGATTAATTATATGAAATATAAATTATAAATAATCGCTCACTATAAAGAGGATGAAATGCTGAACATTTCCCTCTCTTACAGTATGCAGGTCCGATTTTTAGTTTGAGATATATTAATCCATATCTTCCATAAAACTAGTTTTCATTTGGTTTTTGACACTATTTTTCCTTTTCTCCTCTCTAACACGGCATCGTGTTAAGATATAATTTTTAATAATACCTCATTACAAAGAGGATGAAATGATGAATATTTCTCTCGTTAACAATATGCATGTCCGATTTGTAGTTTTTGAGATATTTTAATCCATATGCAAAAACTGACTCTTCAATTAGTCGACTCCAGCCGACTTTACCCGAGCGTTACACATCGAAGATCTGATGGCTCAATCTAATTCACTCTCCACAAAAAAAGTGTAAAAACTTCAAAAACAAAAACAATATTATACTATTATTTTCAAGCTTGCAGACATTTTTTGTTTTAATGACTGATAGTTGAAAACATTATTTTTGGAATCTAAATTTTAAGCACTGGAGGATCTATTAGGGTAGGTTTTTTGAGTTGAAGATCTTCCAAAATGGAAAAATAATTTTTTTTTTCATTGGTCCATATTTGTTTATGTGCCTAAGTTAAGCTAAATATTTGAAAAATAACTATATATTCTCTTTTTTAAATATAATGCATATACAGAAACTAAATGTAACCACAGGTCAAGAAAAGATATAACAAATTCATCTCTAAAAGCATTATAGTTTCAGTAATTACTTTTTCTTTTTTTACTTCAAGAACCACTTCAACGCCATTTCATATAGGTAGTTCTTTGTTTTCTTATAATTAAAAAAAAAAAAATTAAATCCAGGGTTTGCCATTGAGTCTAAGTACCATCCCACATAGTTAATTAGTAAGTTTTTTTTCTCTTAATATTCTTATCCTGTTATAAATATCTACTAGGTTAAGTTACAAGCAAAACACTATTAAATAAAATTATTTAAAAAAATATATAATAGGAACACTAAACCGAAATTTATGCAACAAGTATTTAACTGAGCTATTTTCAGTAGAGTATTCATTAGATACTTACATATCTTGTGCTTCCCTTTGATCGGGAAAAGAACGGGGCTTTTGACAGGGTCTTTACAGATGAAAACAAAGGGCTCATCACTCATGCCATCGGGATATTGCTGGATGTATTCCTCTTGGGCTAAACAATCAACTACATTGACACATCCCAGCAGACAACCTGTCGGGTACTTTCTCGGTAGGTGCTTATCTCCTAAAACAGGAGATCATTTCTTGTTTAAAAAAAAAAAAAACCCTAAAACCATTTGATTAAATCAGAATAAATCCTATAACTCTTGACATATCTGTAAAAGAACAAAGATGACAAATTTTAATTATTTATAAACTTTCAACTTCTGCATTCAAAACATTTATTTAATTTCGCCATGAGATTGCTTAAACTCAAAATAAGTAAAATTTGTTTGCCTTAGTTGTTCCTCCATTACTTCTATGATACTAGCTGCTTTATAATTAAATATCACTATAATAGGTACAATTATAATGCTATTATTTTTTTCAAGGAATGTAATTTAGTGTATGTAATATTTTCTATAACTTGGGTATATAAAAAAAAAGTTAATGGGAACCTTCTTCTTTATATGAATGAAAATTAAAAATAAATTTATTTCATTGTACAATACACTTAAACAATAGGAAATGATGCTGGGCCAAACAAGAAACTTCATTCTCAGAGGAAATGATTGAATCATCAATAGGGTGGACACTAAAATTTGAGAGTGAAGTTAAATGATAAATGATTAATTATATTCCTAGACTAGTTAGAAGCGGTTCTAAAAGAAAAGTTCAGCAGGAATGAGGCTAATAAGAAATATTAAAAATTCATACCTTCCACAAGAAGTGGGAAAAAGAGAGGGATATATACACCTAAAACATTAGGAAGACTATATATAGTTTTATATATATATATATATATATATATATATATATATATATATATATATATATAATATATATATATATATATATATATATATATATTTTATGAGGACTGTATACAAAATAAGTATTTAAGTGTCAGTATAAAATTTAAACACAAAAATTCTTCAAAATATAAGATCATCATTGTCAATTACTTTAACTCATCTTGTGTAATAAAGATGAAGTTAGTGATGCTACAAATTTTTACTTTATGAGGCACAAAATCCTGATTAGATGTCCTCATTGTTTTCCAAGTGGCGGGTTTTCAAAAAATGTGCCTGTCTTTATATACCTGAATAATTTTGCTAATTTTTAATATAATCATTAAATTAGAGTTATAGAATATTCGATCGTATATTTAATGAGAAAACAAAATGTATTCTGATAACTTAAAAAAAACATACCTATTAGATGTTGATAAGGTTGAAGAACATCGTCGATATCTTCTTGAGTTGGAACTCTTGCAGTAGCTGCAATCCATAACCTCCCTCGATGTGAGGTATACCAGCTTCTTCCTTCATGGCTGAAAATAATTAAAAAACATACTCATGTATTCTAAAAATTATTTTTATCATTTTATTATATTTTTCTTTTTTAAACAGTTTTCTTCCTAATAGCACATGTTTAAGGTTGTTATACGATCCACAAGCAAGTAAGTATTATTGTAACATGTAATGTATTGTAACCATAAAAAAGTAACTAATATCAAAAGCAGATACTAGATGTTAAGTTACTGTTTATATTAGTTACATTTTCATTCATTTTTACTAATATTCCATCTGTTTCTCCATATTCTTATTCAATAATATTATGTTTCGTTACCAACTCTCATTCTATAATGTTGTTCTAAGGGATTCCAATTTGTTTTAATAATTAAAAAATTCATCTTATTTATTTTTAGCATTACATGTTTTATTTTTTTAATTTACAGATATTATTTATCTTTTTCTCTAGTTATATTGGCGTACTTCTGTTATTATTGTATATTTCTGATTTAGTTTAATTTTATAATGGCATGGGGAGACTATAATTCTAATTTAAGAAGTTGGTCAGAGGTTATGTAGGTTGTCATCAAGGCATTTCATCTAGCTCTTCTGGAGGAAGCTAGGAAAACTGTAGTCCAGAACTGAGAGTTTTGAAGACATACCCGAATATGTATATATATATATATATATATATATATATATATATATATATATATATTTTTTTTTTATTTCATGACTTTTACAACATTGGTCATATGTTGTCACCAAATATAAGTTGTTGCCATCTTCTTCTGTCCTGCCAGTCTTCTTCACGTATGGCTCTATTCATAATTCCTTCCTTTACAGCCTTATACCTGCTTCTCTTTGGGCGACTTTTTTCCGTCTTCTTTTTTCTTTCCAATCCCAAATTCGCTAAGGTCATCGTCCCTCTTCCATCCTCATCACATGCCCATACCACTTTAGTCTCATAGTTTCAATGATGTGGAGGATGTTCCCTTATTTCACGTTTTGGAACTTTTTAAAGGCGAGAGACACCACATGATCATTTCCAATAGTCCATTTCTAGAGCCAGTAATCTTTTTGATTGATTCTCTTTAATTGCCCAAGATTCGGCTGAGTAGAGAGTAATACTCTCCAGGAATGATTTGTAAATAATTTTTTTTGTTTTTATGAACACTACTTTACTCCACAGTACTGAATTTAAGGTTCTGAGGATTATCTTTCCGTTGCTGATTTTCTTTTCAATATCCATATCCGATGTTCCTGTCGTATTCACACAGCTTCCTCGATACTTAAATCAGCTTCACGTATCAACATCCAGTTGTCCAATTGTAGATATCCGCCTTGGCTATTAAAAGTCATATACAGTTTTTTCTTTGCTGACCTGCCGTCCCCAGGTTGAGTATTCTTGAAGAATTTTTCTCATCGTATATTCCATATCTTCTGCTTCTGAAGCTATTAGCAACTGGTCATCAGCAAACTTGAGATTGAATAGGCAATCATACCTAGTCTTTATGCCCATATCGCAACAATTTTCTTCCATTCACTTAGAGCTCTTTCTACATAAATATTAAAGAGAAGCGGAGACAATCGCTGTTTTAAACCTTTAGTTATGAGAAAGCTATTGCTAACAGAGGCTCCGGTTTCAACACATGCTTTGGCATCCTCATAAAGGCTTTTTATGGCTGTTACAAGGTAAGGACTTATATCGAAGTCTTCCAATGTTTCTCACAGATTCTTTAATGGCACTGCGTCATAGGCTTTTTGTAAGTCCATAAATATTAGGTGTACTTCTTCAGTGTGTGCCGTTGCCTTCTTCAAGAGTTGCCGAATTACAAAGATGTGGACTGGAATTACCAGGGACCGCCCTTTTCTAAATCCAGCTTGTTCTTCGGGGATTATATGACCACATTCTTCTTCCAGTCTTCGTTTAATGATCCTACCATATAACCTACTCATGCTACTGGTCACTGTTATTCCGCGATAGTTTGAACGTATACATTTTTCATTTATTAAAAATATTCTTTCTGTATAATCCAAAGGATCATAGAGCTATTTATCTTTTTCATTTATCTTTTCAATAGATTTTTAGTTTGTTAAAGGCTGGCAAAAATAGCAATATTTTAATTTTTAAAACCTAAAAATGTGATAAGTATCCCATGGCAACCATAGCACCTAAGAGGCTTTTGGCAAGAATTATGGTTTGTCTCAAAAACTGTACATTTTAGGAATTTAAAACTTGTCCATGTTGAAATCTTCAAGACACAATTTTTCCATCTCGATTCGTTGACATTTGAAATCTTCTACTTTTTTAAATAAGGTTTATTAAAGTTGTAGTAGGAATTTAAGGATTGAACTTGGAATTCATCACTTCTTTATGAAATTTCCTTTCGTTTCTTAATTAAAATCCATGCTCCTAAGAGCCATAAAAGTGATATTATATGTAATGTAGACATGTTAATTGAAAAAAAATGTTATAGTATTCATGAATGGCTTAATGCTCATTGTAGATGGTATCACTTACACTTTAATGCCCTCTACTAATAAAGTAGCCCATGGCTGATGCATGCTTAAGCAGGCGCCATTATCAGTCATTTCCATCACCTGGCGATCCTGTACACGACCCATAGAGTTGTGCCAACGGGACCCTTTCTCCTGCGGTAGGTTATTGCTTCCTCCATCGTACTAAAACATGAAGTTCAACTTATTTTATTTATTTGTAACATATTTATTTACATACTGTAAAATGTTTTGCATTCAGTTTTTTAAGACAATAATATACACTTGAATACAATAGTAAATATTTTGAACAAATTTAAAAAGATATAAATAGGCTTCTGATTTTTTAAAAATTCAACTCAGTGTATAAAGTACAATGGAAAATGCATTACAATTTGTGCATAAAAACCAAGCAATACAAGCAACACAAAAAATTGTTACATATGACTTTTTGCACTAACAGTAGTGATATTTTGTTATTTTTCTGTTGGCACTATAGATCCTGAAGATCTTTTGCCGTACGATGGGGTCTTCTTACAGAAATATATTACTTGTGGAAGCACAGGTATTCTAGAGGGACTCACACAACGTCACTCTCCCGAGAATAACCGAATATATAGCCTAAAATTATTTAGGCTGAGTCAAATTTTATTCTATGTTGTTTCCTGTCCACTTGCTGTCTTTTGGCCATTAAATCATCTTCAAACATATCTAAAAAGGCTTCTTAAAAACTAAAGATGGTGTAAAGCAGAAAAGTTGCAATTGTAAAGGAAATGATATACAGGGTGTTTCAGGGTTACGTGTCCTAACTAAAAATATAGATTAGAGATCTCAAAACAAGAAAAAAATTTCCAATGACGATATGTCAGTTAACATTTAGGAGATATTAGATGAGATAGGATATTAATATGTCTTTTTCTCTAACTGTACATAAAATATTAACAATGTAAGGATTAATATTGTTTGGAATTAGCAGTGGGAACTCTCAATAACATTTATCAATTTATTTGAAGCTTTCACAGAATACTCATCATCATGCCTTTTATTTAAACTAATGGTGAATATGGCGATCTGACAGTACTAGATTTTTTTGTTTTAGGTACATTAAACAAAAAGTCTACCTTAAATCTTAACAAAGAAAGGAAATTGAAACTTATGAATCCATAACAAATATCCAGTACTGTTTTGCCACTCTGGTGTGGAAGAAAGGTGCTGAGCCTGTCTTAATGCCCAAGATAATCACATTAAACAACATTTAATATGAATATTGATGTTTACATTCCATTGATAAAGTAGTTGGAATGATTATTAATTTACTTATCATAACCTAAATAACTTGTAAAAATGAAAATCTTTAGATGTGAATATGTCCAAAAAAAAAAAGTGTTAACGAAAATATCTTTATTGGACTTTTTTTCTTGTTTTAAAATCCTTAATTCATATTTTCAGTTAGGACACAACCCTGAAACACACTGTAGAATAAAATTTATGGTGAAAATTTGAGTCTGCCTAAATTATTCTAATATTTAAAAATGTTTTAATCTTAAACTTATAATAAATATAATTAAAATATTTTAGTTTTTATCAGCTTTTCTCATATCACACCTAATTCTAAGATTTAATTTTATTATATGAACTAATTGTAGTTTTAGGTATTCATATACTTAAGAGTCTGCAATATAATAAAAAAAAAAAAATTGCTTACGATTGGCTCAAGTTCTAAAGATCTGGGATCCAGATTATCACTGGACTGGTGGTATGAAGAACTGAGATTATCCATCATATCAGTAACCTCATCCAGCAACAGAGATTCCATGTTTAGTTTTCTAAAGTCATCATCGATGAGACGACGGCCTAAGGTTTGAACAAAAGTATTGCGATAATCAATTATAATTTAATATGAATGAATTTTTAAAGATTTTTACAAAAGTATATTTGATATAGATGTAAATTGAAGGGTTTGGGTTTGTTGTGAGACTGATTAAGATGACAATGGCGAGGTCAAAGTGTATGGTGTGTGTGAGCGTAGATCTTTCTGACCTCTTTCTCACAAATTGTGGTGTTAGGTAGGGAGACGCTTTGGCCGGCCTCCTTTTTAATTTTGCTGGGAAGAAAGTGGTAAGGAATTCAGGAATCGAACTCCGATCAATACTGTTTAACAGCACAGTCCAGCTTTTAGGATACGCAGGCTGCATGTCTTCGAGAAGAAGGAGGAATGGCGAACATTCGAGACTATATAACGATGTTGACATTGTCAAGTTCATGTGACTTCGATGGGCAGGACAAATACAAAGGATGGCTGTCAATGAGATTCTGAAAATGATACCTATCAAACAGCTCCACGGGAAATGGCAAGTTGGACAACCAAACATGCGATGGATGGGCTCAGTATCTGCGGACGCGTGGGTCCTTCTTGGAGTCCAAAACTGGAGAGCTGCAGCAAACGACCGAAGAACAGTTTCAGATAATTCACAAATTGTAAATCTTGTTAAATATTTTTTATTACTAATTCATTTTTTGTAATTAATGCTAAATAAAATTTTTCTTCAGGGATAAAACGGTTTAAAATTTGTTTCAAGAAATCCATCACCAGATTATAAATCGGTTTTTTAAAGTTCGTTGTATAATGGGGAAATATAAATTATTAAACTATACAGCTCTTTTAATTAAAATATAAATTCATCTAAACTCATAACCTCACACCATATACTTAAATAACACATGTTAAATAAAACAATTGCTCTTATGATCTACCACCATTTAAAATTAAAAGTGAGCAATTCACTTTTACATATTATGTATACTATTATAGTATACATATTATATACATAGTATATATATTATATACACTTTTGACCAATAATGACTCTAAGTCATAACAGCAAATTGGCGCTTGTTTATCCTAGTTTCTGAAGGTCCCTGACTTTGCCAGGTCTGATATGCATTCTGAATCTATGGTAAAACAACACATTTCCATTAAATCTTTATATTTTGCAACCATTTGATGAAATACAGAGGTATGTACATATTCAAGAATGGAATAATTTGATAACTAATGATTGGAACCAAAAATTTCTGGCACCAAACCAAAGAATTATTTTTCTTACCACCAAATACTTCATTTAAGCCCAAACTCCCTCAGGATGGAACTATCTCTTTTTTGTAGCAAACCTTTCAATTATTAAATTTGAAGAGATGGAGAAAATATAATATAATAAAATATTATTAAAGAAAATAATGTCAAACACACCAGTGAAATCAAGTATTAAACTTCGGTTTCTGGAATGTTTTAATTCTTGTAATCGTTCTTCTTTTTTCCTTAACTCTTCCTTCATCTCTTTAGTTAGCCATACTGAATTGGTAGAAAAATAATCGCTTTCATCATCAATGACTCTTGTTCGGGCTTCACTAAAAAATCAAAACGGTTCATTAATAATAATGAAATCTATATTTAAAATTTACTCCAGTACATGTCTACAAAATTCTGTTCTCCTTAATCATTTAATAATGTTCTACATATCTCTGTAAAAATTAATTGCTTTATATGCTTTAGTGGGAAGTTATACAATAAAATAGATACGTAGTGTTGCATCTTAAGCAGCAATTTATATCTCTGGGTATCATGAGTCTCTTATAATGCTAAGGAACACAGGAGTCCTTTGGGATCTCAACTATTATTACCAATTTGAAATTTGTTATAAAATATTTCTGGATGCTAATGAATTATACTTCTAACTTTGGTTTTCTTTTTGACTGCGTCCAAAAATAAATAAAGGAAGGAGATGGTCCGGGGTGGCGGTCATAAAAAGGCTAAATAGTGGTAAAACTATTTTATTGAAAGCCCCGGACCATCTCCTTCCTTTATAATGCAACGGTCAACCATTAAATATTCAAAAATAAATAAAAATTGCATCTTCTCTTGTTGTTATCTTCTCATATCTTTGATAAAAATAATGCATTTATTTAAGATCTTTCTGACTGAATAAATCTAACTAATATAGTTCAACAACAATTAGTTGGTGTTTAGAGAGTGAATTCATGTGGCACAAATGAACTGCAGCAAGTTGAAACTAATATTTTGTTTATTCCCCACAAAATATATACACATATATTACAATATGATATTGTAATCTTGTTATACATGTATAGAGAAAAAACAAAATTTTAGTTTCAATTTAATACCTAATAAGTTCACCCTCGGAATGCCAACTAATCATGGTCCTTTATCTCAACATGACAATTGACAAAACTTAATAAAATTACTACCACCTTAAATAAAACTACCTTGTTTTATCATACTCCAATAACCGGTCCCGTAATTGAAGGGCAGTTTCCAAGGCAGAGTTATCCAGCTGACTTTGTTTGGCAAGAATTGGATTTTTCTGTAATTCTTCTCTAGAATAAACCTATAACCAAGACATAATGATTAAAGCAACGGTGAAAATATGTTAACTATGTATATATTTGCTTTTGGGGTCTCTTTAAAATGGCAAACACCGATACACAGCAGTTGGCTCATTGACCAATTGAATTTTCTCGTTACGACTGCTGTAGAGTTCTTATATTTCGAAGTCCCTGATCAACCTCCAATCTCTCGGCAAATTAAGCAATTTCAGCCTAATAATTGCTGTACTAAAAAAAAAATGGGGAAATAACCAACAGATTGGTGAGTGGTTAATGAAGTTGACAACTTCTTACTCGGTTTTGTCCTATCTCGCCTTTTCTGGTATATGAGAGGGAGGATTCTAGAGGTACAACTAAACCTATTCTAACCAGATTGGGAAGGTCGAGACTCATTCCCAAGGTTTGCCACAAAATAAATTTCAATCTGCCCAATCCGTTGGATGCAGGGTGGCCAAGTGAGCTAATGTGTATGCAAAACATATGTTGACCGGTAACTTGATGAACTGAAGATACTATGATAAAATAATTAACAGTTCGTGTCCCAATGCCAAAAGGGAGGGAGGATTTTAACTCGGGAATTAATTCCCTGCTGTCACTCCTGATGTGAAAACTTATAAACTCATAGAGGAGTGGGAAGGGAGGACAAACAAAAAGGCCCAGGCCAGATTCAAATCAGCACCACGAGACTAGAGAATATTAAACTTGATTCTAACGATCCCGATATGAATCTGGGCTGAACGGATTAAAATTTATTTTGAAGAGAAGAATAGTTGGGGTGATCAGTCAAATAAGAAGGCAAAAATAAATTATACTATTTATTTTGACATTAGCCGACGTTTCGACCTGAAGTTCAGGCCATCATCAGGGCTAAGAAAAGAAAACATTTTGTTTTCTATCTAACTATTCTATTCACAATATCTTAATTTTACTGTTTATTTCCATTTCTTATATAACTTCATATTTTTCTGTTTTTACATTTTATTCTAAGATTCCCATTTTAATACTTATGTCATCTTTTTCTTTTTTTTATCATGTTTACTTCATCATTCCACACTTTGTACTGCTTATTATCATTTATCTCTGTGTTCTTACTATTGTCATTATTCTAACAACTGAATTTTACTTTATTTTTTTTTACCTACACTACTTATGTTTCTCATACCTTATTATCTGGTTCTTTTCTTAGCCCTGATGATGGCCTGAACTTCAGGTCGAAACGTCGGCTAATGTCAAAATAAATATTATCATTTATTTTTGCCTTCTTATTTGACTGATCACCCCAACTATTCTTCTCTACATTATTCACGACAGTCAAGCATTTACCAATTATAAAATTTATTTTGTGGTACAGACATCAACTTCACTAACAATCCATCAATTTGTTAATATTTATATGTAAATAAATTCCATCCCTTAGGATGAATATAATTCTAAGAAAGAATTATTTCTGTAGTCGTTTTTTTTTTTTTATTAAATTAAATTAAATTTTAACATTTTGATTTTTCAAGTATTAACGATTTGTATTAAGAACAAATACATGATAGGAAACAAAACAAAAATCAGAATCCCTAAAATATTATACAAGTTTAGCTTACTTACTATCAGAGATAAGGAAAATTTGTATTTTTAAAAATTTTGAGCTTGAATTACTCCAAAACATTCACAGGTAATTATTGAGTTATTTGACTTAAAAATAGGTTGAACTATTGGCTAAAAAAATCATTACATATCTTTAAACAGACAGCCTAAACACATTTAATATAATGAGTTTTCAGTATTGTTATCTCAAATAGTTCAAAAATATTCACAGAAAATAATTGAAAATTCGATTGAGTCATTAAACATAAAAATAAATTGAGTCGTTCACTCAAAAATTGACAGTCTCATAAAAAAAAATATATATATTTAAACTGTTGCATAAAGTGTATTTGTATAACATTTTAAGTTAAAACTTACTGGCCGAGAACAGAATAAGCAGGGTCCAGAACCTTCTTGTTCACACACAATTCTTCCACATCTAAGACAGTTGTTGATTAAACCATGCTTACTTGCTTGGCAATTACACAGGTGTCGACCTAAAACATCAGTGGGTATAGTTAAAATCAGGGATTCAAACAGTTTTTTTTTTTACATATGAGTTCAACTTAAACTGTTTGAAAAAAACTCTTATCAATAAGAGTTAAAGATAAAAGTTTTTATTTTTTGAATACATTCATAAATATCATAAAAAAATATATGAAAAATTACAAATTATAAAATTCATAATTATTAGACTGCTGAGTACTCAGAATGGAAAACTAATAAATTTCAATGATTCAGCAAATGTTTCAATGTTAACTTTGTAGAACATTAAACAATGACAAATTTTATTTGTCAAGCAGAATTGTTTTACTAGAAAAGTAAAAGCTTTAATGTTTTTTAATTAACGCAAGACATACTATCCTGTTCCTTAGCTTGTAAATATTTACTAAGTTAAATGCATAGAAAAATTATTGTGATGTTTTATATAGCTATGTATATATGCAAATGATTATATTTTCTGTTAGTAAAAGCATATTACTTTTTCATTAAAATCTATTCAAGTAAATGGTTTATAAAAACTGTTATATAAAAAGAAAGGCTCCATGTACGTAGTGTAGTAATTACAGAGGCACAGCACTCCTTCCGATTGCGTACAAGATAATGACCAATATCCTACTAAACCAGATATATCTGTATTACAAAAATATAATAGGGAACCTCCATGTTGGATTCAGAAAAGTAAGGAGCATGTTAGACCTAAAACAAGTACTCGAAAACAATGGGAAGTAGTCCATATCCTATTTGTCGATTTATTAGTCTTCAAAATTTGTACGAACTTATGGCAGGAAGATGGACTATTACTGATGTACAACTTAGCCCTGGAGGTGATAAGAACAACATCACATCAAAATGAATTATAAAATTCTTGGATACGCGGATGCTATAGCTGTCCTAGGATGTAATCAAGACGACATTAAGAAACTCTTCAAGAGAGGCAGAGCAAATCGGCTTTCAAGTAAATGAAGACATAACAAAATATATGATAATAAGCCAAAAATTCCACTCCAGTAATAGGAACTGCGAAGAAGAGAAATTGTTCATGAGAGTAGACAAATTCAAATACCTCAGTTCCACAATAACCTCAATGAATAACCAATTGTCAGAAATATACCAGCATATAACTTTTTTAAAGAGTTTTCTTCTTCCTTTTAAAGATATTAGAATCTTCATAAATCTCAAATTAAGGATGTGCTACTTGGACACTAACCAAAATCTTAGAACAAAGTATTGAAAGATTTTCCAAGAAAAATCCTCTGCCCAATAACCGGAGCGATGTGGGATCAGAGTACTAACACATGGAGAACAAAGACGAATAAAGAGCAGCTTGCAGCAACTGTTCATTCAATATCTCATGATATAAAGGCACAGAGATTAAGATAGGCGGGGCATGTAGCTCGTAGCAATCCATCTGGAAGCCTCTACTTAACAATGAATGCCTTAATAGAAAGCAAAGACTATGTGGAAGGCCAAAAAGCAGATTGATAGATAGAATCAATGAAGATGCAATAGAGCTGCGTGCAGTTAACTGGAAAGAAATAGCCCGAGAGAGCCAGGCCAGTAATGCCAACAGAAAAAAAAGCTTGTAATGAGATTTGAAAATAAAAATTAAGAACTGTTAAATGACATGTATCAATAAAAATAAAAGTTCAACAAAAACGTTTATACATCTACAGATATAAGTAAAAGTTAAATTTTTACTTATAATTATAAGGGTTAACAGTTTCATTCAACCCCTGGTAAAAATAAATATTCAAAATGTTTTCTTAGATTAATAATTAGCTTTGTGTATTCGAAATTTTACGCACTCTTGATTAGTTATTATTACTATTTACCCCGAGGTAATGGTAGCATATATATATGTTTCCAAGACATTTGAGGTGGAAACATAATATAAATTATAAGAAAGAAGTCATAAGTAACAAAATTAGGCAGTTTTTTTTAAACTTTTAAAGTTGTGAAAATTGAGTTGGTGTTAAAATTTATATGATGAAATGATAATAATACCTTTTAAAAGTACAGTTCCTTTATCGTCACTTGAATATAAATTCACATATTTTGTTTTCTTTTTTCCTTGTTCACCCTTCCCTTGCTCGTCCTGTAATGCATATTTTACAATTTTCAATAAAAAGATTTAATACTAGAATATTTACATAACTAATTATAAATATGAAAAAGAGGAAAAATATAATTCTAACTATTTTAAACTTCAAGAATGAATCGCAGACTAGAAAAATCAGTAAAAATAACCTTCCTTCTTTAATATGGACTCAATTTAATCATTAATGAAAGGATTTAGATTATGATAGCTTTGCTAGATTAATAAAGTTAATGGTTAAACAACTAATCATTGCTTTATTTCTTTGAAAAGTATACTTTTAGAGGTATATACAACCAAATCTATTCTAACCAGAATAGGAAGGTCGAAATTTATTGTATAGGGCCACCATGAAATAAATTTCAACCTGTCCAGTCCGAATTCAAAGCAGCGTAACTGGACTCAAGAGTGTTAAAGTTTAAGCTTTAACACGCTTGGTCATCACAGCCTTTTATGAATCACACAGGCGGATCTACGGGGAATGGCCTTTCGGGGGGAAGCCACACCCTCCCCCTCTCCTCCCAAAAATGGTAAAATATAACCATGTTTTATGGAAAAAATATTAAAAGATTATCTCTTAAAGTATTATTGATCTTGTAATTACATTTAATAGGACTTCAAGAAACACTTAAACTTTTGAATATGATTTAAACATCTGAAATAAATTTAACAAGTTGAAAAAAAACAAAAAACGTTCTTTTCAGACATTGAATACATGCTGATATACTGCAATTAATTATAGCTTTCTTGTGACTTATCACTTTCTATCTGGAAAGACATAGATGACTCTCCTCTTATGGATGAATTGGAATCTTTTTTTTTTTTTTAGTCTCAACAAGAAAAATAATTGATTACTTTAAAATGAATTGGTTATGATTCTTTATTTAATCAGAAATGATACTTTATATTATCTTATTCCTGATCCCTCTCTTATATTCACAACATACTCTCTATTCGATTGAGCTTGAAGAACAACAAGAATACTGATATGATAGTTTTTTTAAAGATTAGAAAACCAATGTTTAATAAACATATAAATTATCGAATAAAATACATTTATTAAGAAGTTAAATACGAAACAAACTATAGATACTTACTAACTGTGCTTTCTTATTTTCATTTTTTCCTTTACCCTTTTTTTTCTCCTTTTTCTCAGTAGGATCTATATAATTATCAAGCTCGCTTTTTTTATAACCCTGAATTGCTAAAAAAAATATATAATGATAATATATAATGATATGCTTAATGAAGCTCAGTAAATACACATATTTAAGGAAAATGAAGATATTAAAAAACTAACTCATAGTTTTACGGTGTAAAAGTTCTTTGATAAACTTTTGATGAGCTGGGTTTGAATAATCAACTAATGTCTTCATGTAATCTTCTAAGTCTCGATTTGACTCTATCATCAATATACACCTATAATTTAGGAACGGAAATAAATTTGTTAGTTCATTATATCTATTCCCTTCCGAAATTTTCATTAATTTATTTTTTAAAGTTATAAAAATTTCTGTCTTCTAAATGTTTGTCTTTTTTTTTAATTTAAATTTTTGAAATACTAGATCTAATATACTTAGAATCCATAGAATTAAAAAAATAATAAAAATGGTTTAAAGGAGCTTTGTAAGAACATCCCTAAAGTAACAAAAGAGTTAATGGCCATTGAATGTTTTTTCCAACTATATTTACCTTAAATAATTATTAATTTTAGCTAACTTAGTAGGAAGATTAGCACAGAATAAATAATATTGACATACATATAAGTTACATCAAAATTCATTATTTAAAAAATTAAATTAAGTTAATTTATGACATTAAATTTTAATTTATTATCTTCATTTATTTTTTTATTCTTGCCTTTAATCGTCAATTTAGAATTTTATTATTTCATAATTTTACAATAAAATTATTTTTTAATTATTATTTTGTACCAGACAAATGAAATAGTACATCTTCATTATTTATTAAGCGAATAAATGTTCCAAAATAAAATTATTATTTTTTTTTCTTTCTTTCAATAGAAAAGAATGGTTTCAATAATAATATTGATTTGAATTCAAGGATATTTGATAGAATAAAAAAAATAATTTTAACTTCAATTGAAACACACTCAAAGCTTGAAAATATAATGAGGTGATTATCCTCCATATCTTCTTTAGAAATTAATAATCTAGAGTTGAAGGCAGGTAGCCAGTATGGAAGGCAGAGATTTATTTCTGCCATAAAATCAACTTCAATTCTGCCTCAAGAATACTAATATGGACGATGCCTTAAATTGATTGTCGACCACAGCCTCCCTCCCTATTAGTTATGTATAGTACTTATGATAAAATGAATAGGATCCATCTTCAACAAGAATCTCTGATAGGTAAAATCCTGATCTCAACTAAAAATGACCCAGTTATCAATATTACTTTTAGAATATTCTTTATCATATCAATGTCATCTTTTCTCACCTATCAACCCTACATGACACATAAAACTTATAATATAACTGCTCTTTAAAGTTTTCATATTGAGGAATGATAAATTTTATGTAACACTCCAGTTTTCAATTGCATTGATATAATTTTATAATTTAGTTTCTAAGCCTCTTTGGTTTAATAAAAAGTAATCAATATAAAAATGTAGTTTTATTACTTTGCCATGTCTTCGGTTACAGGAAAATGTAAAAGAGATGATAATTCTGAAATAACCCATTTGGTCAAATCACTCATTATTGTTTTTAAAACTGTTCCAGTCAAACTTAATCTAAAACTGAAGTGTTGGAAACCTTCCCGCCTTTAAACAATTCACAGTGTCATTCGTTTGTGAAGTGATCGAAACAATTCCAAAGAGAAAACGCGAGAAAGAGAAAGAGAAAAACAGAAAACACGAATTTCAGAGCTCTATAAAAATTTAATGTCCATTTGAAGGTGCGTTTAGACATTTCACAAATTAAGGGAAATAGAAATATCTAACAGACATTAGGGTAGCTAAACCAAACTATTTACATGTCTTATTTTTCTTGATACCAATAGCAGATAGAAAATATCAAAAACAAGAAAAAAATATTAACATAATGAAATAACCATTTATATATTTTTTATTCCTAATTTTGTGAAATGTCTTAACGCACCTTCAAGTTATACACAACTCCTATTACTCTGTGAGTGTATTAAGTTAAATATTGCGACTCTAATATGGTCATCACTTGATATAACATCTAATTAATTTAAATTATCCTCCATGATTATGAACAAATGTCCACATAACAAGGTCAATTATGATTTGTGTAATTTAAATAAAATTGAATTGATAGCGATACAAGTTTTAACTTACATATAATAGGTTAAAACATTAATAGATACTAGTATACCCCTGTGAGAAATCTCATAAAGATATTCAGGTATCGTTTTCTTAAATGCATCCGAAGTACAGTAAGCCATATCAGCGAAACATATTTATTCACACAACTAGTGTCCACCCAGTGGTCGAAATTCGACCATAATCATTATTGAATGTGTGAGAAAAACAAATGAATTTGCATGTTTTCAACATTTTTTTTTTTACTCTTATTTATTCCTACATTAACTTTTATATGTATTAATATATTTTATATGTATGTTATTAAAAAGAAAACAGTGCAGTACTATTTGTTTACTTTTCGAGCTATAGGCAAATAAAACTGTGAATCTATCACATTTTTTTTCAAAAATATATTTGAACTTTTTCCACACTCAGCGAAAATTTTAGGCAACAATTTTTTATTTTTCGTTTACAAAGAAAATTCGTATATAAGCGTTTTTCCATGTGCAAAATACCAATCTCAATTTCTATGGGTGATAAATAGGCAGGACACAGTAATACGACTATCACTTTAATGACTGCGTCCTGACTATTTATCAACCACGATGTATAAAACACTAGACTTCCTTCAATAATTCAATCTTAATTTCTTTTCATATTCAAAAAATATATTATGCCATTTTGCTCCTTCGGTCGGTACAAATTGTTTCATTTCAATATTGCACTTATATTATTGTTATATTTCAAATATAAATTAATCACAATGAAACTTTCCTAAAAAAAATATAACCGAAAAATGCAACAAAATATCTTATCGGTCATGATTTTTTTTTCTTTTCATTTAGAAGTTAATTTAGGAAGCTTTCAAATATTCATTTGTTTAAAACGCCACATCTCTGCACCAAATCGTACAAATGAAAATTTGAGGTCAAACATTTTTATTTTTCGATTCCAATGAAAATTGGTATTTGAGGATTTATCGATGTGCGAAGTACAAATCCCAAATTTGTTAAAAAAATATTTGAACCCACTTAATTCTTGAGGCCGTTACAATTTTTTTTCATTTCGTAGTCAATTCTTATCAATTTTTATGATTTTTTTCATTTTATAGAGTATTCGGGAAGCTTTCAAATAAATGTAGATATTATCAATAAAAAATTGTTTGTTTTTTGGTTATTCCCTAATAAAATTCTGTATACAACGTAATTGTGAAAGTATGTAATATACAATGGCCAAAAAAAGTATTCCTACACCATATGTTTTTGTCAAAAATCTTTTTATTTCTGTATTCAACATAAAGTAATCATAGATAACAATTAGAAACTTCCTTTTGCATTAATCGTACAAAAAAGGAAACTTTTATAACTCATAGTATGAAAAATGTAAACATTTTCAAATATAAGGCGCAAAAAAAAGTATTCGTACTAGCCCAAAGGAAATATAATAAATATCAATCACAATTAATTTTAATATTAATATTAGGGTTCCCTTTCACGTTTATCACCTTGGCATCGGTTCCACAGGCCTCTTTGTCTCTAGTCTACTTTCTTCCCAATTTTTTTAAAGATCGTTTAAGTCATTCCGAGAGGAACAAGGATATTTTCGGATTTGTGATTCCAGTAGCGCCCATAAATTTTCAATTGGATTAAGATTCTGTGATTGTGGGAGTGTTTTGAGAATTTTTCAAACATTATACAGCAACCATTGTTTGGTGTTATGGTCGTGCGCTAGCGATCGTTGTCCTGCTGAAACATATATGTATTCTCCATTCTTAAGTTTCACACACCTTTATTTAAATTGCAATGCAACACATTCTCATATTTGTCAGCATTCATAATCCCGTCAATAAAGGCTAGTTCACCAACTCCTTTGGGACCCATACAGCTTCAAACCATGACTCTGCCTCTTCCGTGCTTTACTGTGGGTTGTAGATTTTGGGGTTCAAATGCCTTTCCTTTTTTCCTCCAAACATATTTTCGCAATGTCAACAAGAGTTTTCTCCCTGGACGGGATTTATTGTGCACTTATTCGAATTTCAATTTTTTTAATAATATATTTCACTGCCGTATGAGGTAGTCTGAACTTTTTCCAGTATACCGCAAACTTAAACCCTGTTAAAAATGTTATACGTAATCTTTAGGATGAGAACTAAATTATTTGGGCCTACGAACCATAACCGAAGAAATACTTTTTAGTACTTAAATAAACAAGCAATTTCTCGTGCAGTTTTATCCTTCTGGACGAGGAGTTACTAGTTATAAATAGAACGTTTAAACGCTGTTTTAATTAAATAAATAAATATAAATTATGGTATCATTAACATTTGCTCTAGTGTACGAATACTTTTTTTGTGTACAAATTATTGAAATATTAACTTTATAAAAGTTAAAAGATATTTTAAACTTTGGCATTACATAAAATTAATGCAAAACGAAGTACGTAATTGATACCTGCAGTTGTTTCAAATTAACAAAAAATATAGTGAACCATTTTGGCCAAAAAGGAGGTTGTACGAATACTTTTTTTGCCCACTGTACATAAATTATAAAGGCTTTATGGGAAAGGCTTTAGCCAAGTTTCATTAAAATCGTTACAGCCGTTTAATATCGCTACAACCTAAAGGAAACTTCGTTTTTCGGCTACCATTTCGAAATGAAACGAATGCTAGTGAAATTTTTATAAGTGAATTTGATTGCAACATTACATCGAAATTTCAAAGCAATCGGTGAAGAACTTTTGGAGGTTAATTGTTTTGAACAAACTAACATTTATATTCTTATTTATACATACAATTTCCAATTTTTATTTATTAATAACACTAATTGCTACGAAAGAAAAAAAAAATTCCCCCAAGGTCGATGTCGCATGATCCTCTTCCTCCACTACTAGATACTTTATTACCCACCTTTTCTTAAAAACAGAGCAAGCGAAGGAATACTTTAAAAAATCGTAGACCATATACAATTATACTTGTTGCGTTCTGTTCTATGCTTTCCCCTTGTCTCTTAGTATGGAACTTTTCATTCTGAAAATTCATAACCCCACCGAAATGTGCTCACAACAAAAATTCGAAAACCCGCTAAAATATGCCCTCCTCAAAACTTTTGATGGCCCAACTTGCGCCATCAAACCCTCTTCTGGGCACTCCTGCGTCTCACTGATTAAGGGTATTAAAGTCTATTAGCCCTGGAGCCAAGACCCGTCAGTCAAACCTGATCGCAGGTGAAGGTTTGATTGTAAATCAGGAATGATATCGTGAGTAAAATGAATCTTCTCTGCCATTCCAGAGCCGTTACTTTAACAAATGGCGGCTGATTTAAAGAATAACAGACCATTAACTTCAGGATCGAAACGGAAAATATACGAAAAATGTTGGAAAAATTTTGATTGTTGGTTTTTTTTTTAAAATTCTATATATGGGTTTAGACGTGTAAAATTCAAAATTGCTAAAGTGGGTAACTAAGTGAAAACTTTTTAAAACCAAAAAAGTCAGATTTTTGTGATATATTTTCATCTATTACTTCTAAACGATGCACCGAAGCCAAAAATGTATTCGTGAATAAATTACAGAACGTTAAATTGTGAGTCGAACCAGTACCTAAACTTAATAATTTGGCTTAGTGATATGATAGAAAACCACTGTCATCCAACCCTGACTTTTACCAAATTTGTCAAAAACTGTGACGAATTACTATATATAGCCATCTAGCTTGGAAATGCATTCCTTGAAAGGAAAAACCTAAAGGAAACAAGTTTCAGAGCATCAAATTTTGCGGCTACTGAGTACAAACAGTTTTTATATAGGTCATTTACTCCGCACAAAATCGGTAATCTCTTATGGTATGGCTGGAATATGGCTGGAAATTGGTAATCAAGGTATGTACGATTTTAAATATTTCAACAGTATGGATGTCTATTCTAGAGAGTTATTCTTGCTTATTGTCTGGTACTTGAAGTATAGGCCACATTTTTACCTCTGAGCAAGGAAGGATTTTGAGAAACGATTTGTCGAAAGAAACAGAATTTCATGAAGAAATAAAGAATCCTGATACGGGATATATAACTGACCTTCATTCAAAATGTTAGTATTCAGTGGAAGCAAAATTTGATATTCGACAACTTTTATTTTGTTGGTTATTCCTTTCAGTGAACGCTCTTGCAAGCTACATAGCCATTTATAGTAATTTGTCTCAGTTTTTGACAAATTTGGTAAAAATCAGCGTTGGTTGGCCATGGTTTTCTACTATACCAATTAACTAAACTATTATTTAGGTACTCATACAACGCACATGGACCTTGGCTTCAGGGCTATATTAGTGAGAGTATAGAAGCCGTAATACTGAATATTTTTTTTAATGAAGAAAGGATAGTTGGGGTGATCAGTAAAAATAAATAATAATATTTATTTTAATATTTGGCGACGTTTCAGGCCTTCATCAGGACTTATCGAAGAGATCGCTATGGATAGAAACTGTCCAAAATCCAATATCCAGTATCCAAAATTGCAATAAGCTGTAGATCTCTATTCTATCCATAGCGATATCTTTTCGATCAGCCCTGATGAAGGCCTCAATCTTAATGATAACATTTTTTAAAATGATTTTCAGATAAAAAAAATCGAGTCAGTCATTTACAACGATTTGAGAGACTTGAAGCTATGTTGGAGGCTTTCTAATATTATGCATTTAATATTTAAAAAAACAAATTTATGATGCAATAAATCAATATGAAGTTTTCATTATAATTCTTTTTATATTAACATAAATGGAAAGTTGCCTTAAGTGTATTAAGTGATGAATCGCCCCCTTCTAGATAAGCTCAGATAAGCTACTAAATCAGTAAAGAAGAGGAACAGCGTCCATTCGGAAAATTGGGTCCCATAAAAGTCCATTTTGGTGGAACAAGGGGCTTTGTATAATTTTCCAGATTGTGGCTGAATTAAATATGTTTTTCAGCATAAATGTTTAAAAAGGTTCCCTATACTGCTGCAGCCTAACACCCAGAAGTGGAACTAACAGGGCATTTATTTCTAGCCAGTGTCCTCCTGTCTCGTTTGAGATATGATGGACCTGAGTCAATTTGTCGTAATTTAGAATCTATTTCAATTAATGATAAGTATATTAATTGTCGGAGGGTGTTTATTATGTGAAACTGTCGATTAGTTTTTAAGAAATGCTCCATTTGTCAATGTTGAAAAGATGACTGAAGTGTTATTGTGTCAGCCATATTTTACGATTTATATCACTTTAAAATGATTACATTGTTTGTTTTATTTAACGGTGGGTACTAATGGTCTGAGTAAATAAGTATGTTTACCTGTGGTTCCATTCTGATCTTTGCTGCTGGATTTATTTCATCTAACGGTCACCCAATTGACCCTAGAGGTGAGCCAGGAGAGGCTTCATTATATTTGACACTTATTATTTTTTATTTTATTTTTTTATAGTATCGTAGATAGTATCAATCTGAATGTCAATTTTTGTTTGCTTGTTTGATTCTTTGATTTAAACAAAGTTAATTAAATGATTTTAAATATACCAAAAATCTGCACAGATTACCTATCATCTGATCTTAAAAAGATTTTCATTATTTCTTTTAACCTGTTTGACTAATTAATCTATTTTTATCTTATTGATACACTTGAAAACAGATTTATGATAAGAACTCCACTTGAGTTGTATTTTTATTCCTAAGGTTCCTTATTTATATCTATATTTGTTATTATTATCACTATACTTCGTTTTTTAGTCAACAAAAATTCTTACAATACCTTTTCAATATAAGTTCCCGCAACATTTCCTGATTATTTTCCTTTACTAAGTTACAGTATTGTTTGTATGTTGATGGTTTTAAAAAAAGATTGACATTGAATGTTGTCTCTGGTAGAACATTAATTCATTTTTAAGAGGTATTTATTAAAGTATGAATTGATCAAATCTTATTGTTATTTTCCCTTAAAATGTCCCCTTGTTTTTATTGTATCTGAATAGTATGGTTATCATTTAACTGTTTATAAAGGTACAAATATCATATCGTTTTTTAGTCTTGATTACTATACTAATAATGAAGTTCTGTTAAACTATAATTTGTTTTTCTAAAATTATCATTGCACAAATAGTTCTATTGTTTATTTTTATATAAATTTTATTAATCCTCCTCTCTCTTTCATTTTCTTTTTTTGAACCAGAATATATAGTACATATTATCTGTAAATAGTTTTCAATTTTATTTCATTTAATGATATATTATCATAACATCCTGGTATTATCTGTATTAGTGGGTGGGTGACTCATACCTTTCTCTGAAGTTGAATTTATTCAAGTGTTTTATTGTTTTTTTTTCCTTGTGCTATAGGTTATGCATTTTTACATTCATTTTCTTGAGTAGTTTAATTTTAAATTTATTTTGGAATTATTGTCTACAATTATATTATATATATATTTTTTTTAAATGTTTTGGATTTATATTTATAATGGTCTTACTTTCTATAATAATTCTAATTTGTACGTAATTATTCAGTAATTTTAAGAGATGTTGATATACACTTTTAATATATAAAGAATGATATATTTTTTTAATTTATTACTTAAATTAATTTTTTTTACATGAAAATATAACTGTTCTTTAATTCAAATAGATACAATTACTTTCAAACTTTATCATTACTGTAAAGAATAATATGTGATTATTGGTTTATTCTCATGATTGATTTTTATAACATAGCTTGTTATAAAATGTAACAAGTTTCTTACGAATACACAATTCTTTACAGTTATCCTACCAGTGAGTAATGGGTTTGGAATTACGATTATCGGTGCAGCTTTGCTTATTTCCACTGTTATTGCACTTATAGCCTGCACCTGCTGCAAACAACGTAGAGATGGCTTCAAGGTAAATGTTTAATTTTTAAAATATTTTATGAACACATTGCTATTTATTTTTTTTACATTGTCACTGTTTCACTTTTAATATTTATAAAGCATTGTGGTAGTGTATTAGAGATGGCTTTAATATTTTTACATGGTTAGACATTTTTATAATTTTATTTACTATTCAAATCATTAGATATTGATTTATAAATTTATAGAGTTTATATTTAAAAGTTTGTGGAACACCATATGTAATGTGAGCAGATATTTTCTGCTCTGAAGCAGGACATTCCTGTTTGTTGATAGGATTTAGAAAATGTCCTGGGGCATATAATCTAGGTTATTGTGTATAATCTATGACATGTTTGTATGTAGTCAAATATGTAGGGGAGGCTTCTCTCCCAAATGGTATAGAAGCCCATCAAATAGATCTCTCAGATCTGGTGCGACCTTCGGAGCGTTAAGGATATACCTGTGTAATAACCAAATTTTTCTTTAGATTGTAGAGCCAAAATGGCTCTATGATTTTGATGAATCTTGCTTAATGTTTTCTCCATGGCCTTTTAAAGTATCTGATATAATAATTCACCAAAATAAGTAAGAAAAAATGTTTACCCATTCCTCAAAAAGGGCATATATTTATTAAATGGATGTACTCATATCAATGGTTTATTGAAAGAATTCATTAAATGACATTTTGTAATCTTGGAACACTATGAACTATAATGAATATCCCCTTTGTAAAATTCGAAAATCGTGCACTTGTAACTATATTTGATATATAAAAATGTTTGTCATTTTAGTGAGCTTACTCTGTTTTTTTATCAATGTATATCTATTGATTGACAAAATATCTCTATTAATTAATATAATCATTCTGTCCAGAATTAATTCTTTTTTTTCTGTATCATTATGTTATTCTTAAGGGACTTCATTCCAGAATAAAATTATTTTTCTATTTTCTATATAAAGTTAAAATTTACAAAAATATTCTTAATAGTTCAGCTCCATCAAAAATGTACTTAGTGATTTTTTACAATAAACCCGCAATATATTTTATGGTTCGCCATTACATAGGAAGGTAATTAAATTAAATTAAAAAAAAATCATCGAAATCAAAATAGCACTTGTATCAAAATATATAGCGTATTTAAACTGAGAATATATTTTATAAAAAATTATTTTGCACTTGTTCAACATATATTCATATACTGAAAAAGTAAATCTTAAAAACATTATTAGCTGATATGTTGAGTGGGTACGATCTATTAAATATATAACTTTGGAAATAAAGCATTGTGTAATAATTTGCATTTTTTTTTCTAAATCTTGTCTGTTGAAAGTGGCTAATTCTGAGATGAATAGGATGAATTGTCTAAAAGTTGCACTGTCCTGCCAAAAGTGGGATGTCTGGTCTTGTTTATCATAACATTGGGTTATATATTTTCTTTTTATATTGACAATTATAATTTTCGAATATTTTAAAAATGTTTAATGAAAAACAATTATTACTCAGGTTTTAATATAATTATGACTCACTGGTAAAAACCAAAAAAGTTGAATACTTTCATTTTATGTTATAGTCTATAAATATAATATAAAGTAGTAATTTTATTGATACTGGTATATTTTATTATTACAAGGATTTAAGAAAAATTATATATTGAGGCTAGTCACAATTTTAAATTCAAAATAAAAATGTAGAATGGTATCATTGTTTAATTCTTACAAATTATTTAAAGATATTTAATTAATTTTTAATCTTGTCTTTGTTGAAGATGGTAAAAATGAGTTATAATAAAAATATATTAACTCAGATAATATATTTGGCTCTTGTTTTTCACATTTTCAATTAATATTTTTTTGTTATAGTTATAAAAAGTGAAAACTGAGAAAAAACACTTATACTTTGAATGAACGTTATCTCTTGCTTATAACCTGTTTAGTTATGCCATTGTCTTTTTTAAATTTAATTATACTTATTCTAACAGAACTCAATTTAGCGCTGCTAATTTGTCTCGTTTTAGCTGTTGGTTTTTAAAACACTAAACTTTATCTTGGTTATCCACATGTTATGTTAATGTAAGAATTGTGGTTAGCAATTGCATCTTCTAGCAGTAAGCACCATATTTACGATTCAGTTAAAAAAAAGTGCAAACATTTTATTGATGCTAGTTTAGAACAAAGAAACATTTAATGGAGGTTAATGCTACTTCGTATTTTTGATTTTTGATGTTTATTGATAATGATATATTTTGATAATGACTATATAGTCATTTAAAAAAATAAAATAAAAAAATAACATATTTAAATTTTATTTTTAAGCCGAATGTGGAGGAAGTTGTTTGCAAAGAGGTAAGGTCGAGTGGCATGATTAGATATGTATTGAAACGTGTTATATAGATTTTTTTAAAAATTAATTCTATTAGGCTGTCTTCTATTGGTACTCCTCGCTCACTAAGCTCAGATTTGTCAGTAGTATTAAAATTTTCTTATATGTTTTTGGCTTGTATAAAATTTATATATATATATATATGCTTAACATTTAATACAATCAAGAGGTAAGTATTTTAATTTAAACAGTACAAAACAGGAGATGATGTAATTATAATTTATTATTTTTGTCTATTTTTGTTTTTTAATGAGACATAGTTTTCCTTAGAAGTTCAGAATCTAGTCATATAATAAGTGGGAACTTATCAAACATTTTTATCTACAAAAATATATTTCTATATTATAATTTCAATGAACACATTTGTAGTACATCAAATATAAAAACAATATTCCTCGTCTCATTGTTTGTGCATTTACTCATGCTTGTCACTCTACAATAATAAAAAAAACATATATGTGTATACGATTATATCAGAACATATATGATTTCTATTATTGATTATATTTTGTTTTATTTAAAATTAATGCTCACCCCAAAAACTTGATACTACCTCCCTCCTCCCTCGGTTGTTTAACATTGACTGCACATTTGAGCTCTTTAGGGATGGTAGTCCCTGTAGGAATTAACTAAATAAGTGAATGGGATATAGCGCTGTTGATGTTTATTATTTTCCAGTGACCTATCTAATTAAAAACTGATCTCATTCAGTATATGGACATAATGTTGGCCTATATTTTTAACATCAGATTTAAAATTGACTGCGTTATTTATATTTTTAGTAGTAATATAAATTGATTCTAGGGTTTTTCTAATTTTATTGTTTTGCGCCGTGTTTAAGTATTTTAGTTATTAAAAAAAACAGTGTTTATTGTTTAATTAAAATTTTATATGTAACTTATACTTTTGAGTTATTTGAGAGATTGTTATGAGAATTAAACTTATAATGTTGTGTAGATTTTACATTTCAACTTAAATTAAATAATTTTTGACTCATTTGAGCCAAAGAGAAATATATAATCTATTCTACAAAATATTAATAAATATTGACTGTTTAGTCTGTTTAATTAGACAGATCATTTTATGTCTTCATAAAATTTATATTTTTAGATGGAAGATAACGAAAATTGTTATATCTAAATTTATCAGTTTTTTGTACTCTCTCCACTCTTGTGTACTTACCTTTACGGTTATCTGCTAACCTTACTTCCAACATACAAAAACTGTTTACTTGGTTATTTTTAGTTTAATACTTTCTAGTTTATTGTATTGGAATACTGAATCTTAATCTATGGAATCACACTGTAGATATTGCATTTTGTCTATGTCTTCAAGTGTATTGCTCAATCTTTTGTTATAAAGAAAAGTTGATGGTTAGAAGTTACTTTTATCAATTCTTTGGTTCTGTAAAAGTTGCTAAATTGTAACCGATGTTTGTTGAAAAGCCCATAGTATTCAAGTTAAAATAATACACCTCTTAGTCAAAATGTCTTATTTTTCTGAAATAATCTTGGTATTTTTTTTTTTTTTTAATGAAAATAGCTGTGCATTACCTGAGTGGTGTGAGCAAAGGAGTGATATACTCGTATATGCATGCTAGATGCGTTCAATGTATTTTTATGCCAACTCACTGCTACACAATCCTGTGTTCCTTTTATAGAAGTTTGCTTTATCTGTTCATTCTTTGTCATGAATTTTTTATATCTTTAAAATCCATTGGTTTATAATAATAATTTTATCTTTTTTTTTTTTACATCTTTTATTTTGACTGAATCGATCTGTGAATCGATTGACTATGCTTGCTCATTCTTATTTTGATTTATTTTTCTTTGAACAACTGATTTGGTTTCATGTCTTTTTGGTGTTATTAGTATGTAGCATTTTGAGTTTCATATTAATCTTTTTTTGATTTAATTTTTTTTTTTCGTATCAAAGTTGAATTTTGTAATTTACTATTTGATTATTATTATTTTTTATAATTGCATGATAGTGGAACGATTCAAATTAAAGTATAAATTTTCTGGGCCTATGTTATTGCTATAAAGTGGAATGGATACTTTTTTTTTTATATAAATATTTTTTGACATTTCAATTTTATGATTTTTTAAAAATAATATGCAATTCGGTAAGAAGGAATTAATCAATATATATGTTTTTGATTCGTGCAAACCTCATGATATACAGGAAACTTTTTAATAGCATTTTTATAAATAAACTTGAATGATAAAAGAAAACAATTCTTGAAAGATATTATTTACTTCACGATGCCAAAATTGATCTTTATAAAAACTCTTGCACAGTATAATATGATCCAAGGTGGAAAAAAAAAAAAAAAATGGTATCTGTGTTTAGGTTGATTTAATAGAATCATGGTTTATAATGATAGCAGTTCATTGGTTAAGAATGGTTTAACCTATGAAAAACATGTTATGTTATTACTATTATTCAGTACATTATCAGTTATTACTTGATTCGTAAGATTACTATACATTTATTTTGTTGATTATAATGTGAGATAGTATTGTTTTCCATCTTCAACATTATTTCCAATTTTTATACATTTATATTTATAATAGTTTTACATTCTTTGTATCTGTCTTTTTGTTTTTAGCCCCGATGAAGGTCTTTAATGTGGATCGAAATGTCAGCATTGCATAAATAATAATCAATTATTTGATGTATTTTTTCAGACTGAATCCCAGACCATTTCCTTAGTATAAAAATAAATATGCCTGTATTTAGAAACCAATAATTATTTTTTTCCACAAAATCATGTAATAATTATTTGATTTTTAATTTTTAAAATTCTGCCTGGCTTATAAATAAAAATTTAAATCAATCTTTGGTGTTTATTGATTGGTTAAAAATAATGATTATTGAATGAGTAATACAGTATTACATAACTAATAATGATTAAATTGTGATAAAAAAAATGTTGATCAGAAAATAAAACTGCTACTCCAGACTCAAAATATATCGTATTAATCAAAAATCATTATTATTGTTGTAAAAATTTTTCTGAAAAATAATGATCAAGATATGACTTTTATCACTTATGGCCCAAAATAAAAATTGCTCTTAATAAAAATCATCAAATGATTTTTAAAAATTCCATATAAAAATTTTGATTTCAATTTAATTTTCATTTTCAAAATCTGATATTTAGTATTTTTATAGAAAAAACTTGTTATTAAGTTAATTATAATTGTATTGGATTGTTACGAAGGTATTATTATTTAAAATGTGTAAATGTATTATTGTTTAAAAAAAAAAAATATTTCCTCCCCCCCTCATCTTGTTAATCCTAGACATTATGGATTACGTAACTTTCTCTTAAGTAGAAAGCCCAGATGTACTATTACAGATTTCAGATTTTAACAATATCTTTGATTTCATGTTAATAAATTTGTTTCTCTTAAAGTATTATATCATTGATACTGCCCACCACAGCGTCTGCTGGTTGTTGAGTACTGCTTTAGTTGAAGAGAAAGGAGCATATTTTGTTGGCACTTAGCTATGATTTCAGGCTAGGTATGATTTCATATCCAGACTGGTTCTTTATGAATGAATCATTGAAGCTGTTAAAAGTACAATTGTTCTAGATTATGCTTCTAATCGAAGAAGAGTTTTGATGATAGTAGTCACATTAGTTACGTTAACAAAATTAAATGAAAAATTGTTCACAATTTAAATAAAACTACATCTAATTATTTATGTAATCTTGAAATACCAAGAGTATTTTATAGAAGATTCAAATATACCTTAATCCAATTAACATTATATAAATCAAATAATGGAAGAAAAAAAATAATCTCAAGTAAATACTCTAATCTGAATAATGAAAAATCAATTTTTTTTTTAAAATTTAAGTGCTGGTTTACTAAATACCTAATGGTTAATCATTATTTGTTGTGATTTCGTTACAAATATATGATATTTTTAATTGAAATGATGATAAGGCATTAATCATGGCGATCACTGTTGTATGCAGTACCAGTGAAATAGTACCGTTATCATGTTAAAGATTATTAGTTTAAGGTGAATTCATTCTGAATATTTTTATTCTCTTCTGCAGGAATTCAGAAATCCTACAGCCGGCGGCCATATCGGCTTCACAAACACATTATCGGAACTTGCAATATTTCCTCCCCCCGTGACTGTGCAGCAGCAGCATTCTCCCTCTGATGATGGACCTGCTCAAGCCAACGTGCACCCTCCTTCGAGGCCTGCTGCATTCTCCTGCGTAATACCCTCAGTCACCGATTGGTTTGGTATGTTGCTTATATTTGTGTATATATTTCTCATTTAACAGTGATAATTTCTATTTCGACAACATTTCACCAACCAACCTTATTTCCTCTATAATGAAATCCCACACAAACTCCATCGGACTTGATGGAATACCTATCAAACTGTTAAAATAATGCCTTGTCGAAGTCCTTCCAGTTCTCCTTTTCATCTATAATTTTTCCCTCCAGAACTCAGTTTTTCCTACTGCTTGGAAAAAAGCATTAGTCAGACCTATTAACGAAATCCCCAATCCTACTTCTCCTAAAGACTACCACCCAATCTCCATTCTTTCTAACCTTTCTAAACCTCTGGAAAGAATAGCTCAATCCCAAATCTCTAAATTCCTTAAAAACTCAAAGCTAACATACATATATTATAAAATAAGGCTCTGCTTATTTTTTCACCTTATTCATTTTAATTTTCATAGCTACGTTTCGGCTGGTAAGCCATCTTCAAGACATTTTATTCAACCATGCTTTTTGCATGTAGTCCAAAGTTTTTGGTTGAATAAAATGGCTTGAAGATGGCTTATTGGCTGAAACGTAGCTATGAAAATTAAAATAAATATGGTGAAAAAATAAACAGATCCTTATTTTATAATGTTAAAAAAAATTTCACCTAAAACAAGCACATTTGAACATACATATAAATAATGTATAAATTATATCTTGAGAATTATAATTATATGTAACTAGTAGGCCCATGTTAAAAATTCGCACTGCATATTGGTTTTAAATGCCAAATTAATAATAAAATAAAATAATGCAACGTATCAAAAGATAAAAAAATCAATAGTTACTTTATCGCTTAATATAAACGACAAAGGAAACAAAAATTAATTTAAATCATCATTAATGTTTGGAACCAACATGTTTACGAATTTCAATAAGGTGTATCTTTGCTAAAAATTATCCAATTTCGATGATTTTTTTTTTCCTTTTGTACGGAATTTAGAAATATTTTTTATAATCATGGACATAACCTAGGGAAAAGTATGTAATTTTTGAGTTATACGCAAATAAACCTTCTTTTCTTTCATAATTTTTTTACCTGAATTTTCGGGGTGATTGGATTATTTTTCTCGCCTGAAGGAGAAGGAAATCTTCGAAATTGGTGGCTCAATCTTGAGATTTGTTGAAAAATTAACGATGATATGGCTTGCCGATCAAAAACACCATCGATAAATAATATAAACTCCTCCTCTCTCGATCATAGAAACCTCAAGTCGACGAAATGAGACATGTATTCAATGACAGTACTACAATTAATGTAAGGTTGTGTGGATGCGAACCCTATGCCTTGCGTTATCTCGAAAATAGTATGTTTTTGAGCTTAAAAAGGGTCTTGCTGTACACATCAAAATCTTCAAGATCCAATTTGTTCCGTATTGATCTACAGACCTACCACTGTTACAGTATTGAAGCCTAGCAAAACGTTTGTATCGACTTTATTTGTTTTAGAAAGAAAAACAAAAGTGGAGAATACGATTCGCTAACCCCCCGTGAAATTCTAAATCCAACGGTACACCATTCAGGGTATTTGAGCATGACAGGAGCTTATATTTGGTACAAAACCGATTTCGAGCCTTGCTGTAATAATATATGTGGGGATAAATAAATTTTTTCTCATTTCATTTTCAATATTTAAGATTTATATCCCTAAAAATCACAATTGTTTACTAAAATAAAGAGAAATAATAAAAAACTCGTCATATAAACGGCATCGGACGTCGGATTACCTACGATTACTGGCCATTAATGAGGTTGCAATCAACATATAGAGATTCTGAACAGGGAATTTAGTTCACCTTTGTTGTCAAAAAATGGTGGTATACCTCGAAACTGATTCATGTCTCCGGCGTCTGATGCCGTTAGGAACTTCATAACTTGTGTCAGTCGCCGGAGACCTATATCGTTGGGAAAGACATTTAAGAGGTATCATGTTTTATTTTAGTATTCAACTTTTTATATTTATTTTATGCATATTAAACTTTTGCAGTTTGTTAAAAGCCTATTTTTTTCTTGTTTCAGTTGACCGCAATGGAAACTTTCCTCGACAACAGCTGTTTTATCAGAAAGAGATTGGTAAAGGATGGTTTGGAAAGGTAGGTTATCATAGAAATCTGATTTTTAATTAGTTATTGAATAATTAAGTATTATTTTCAATAATAGTTTGAAGAAATCCGATGAAGTGGAATTAGACTTTCAATAATTTCATGAAATGAAAACCATATTTCGTATTATAAGTCAGGTGGATTAGCTCAGTGGGTAATTACTGACTTTCAAAGCTCAAGGGTTAGGAGTTTGAATCCTGGGGCACACTTAGCCTCTATAAAGTGGATACTCTTTGTTAAATAATTAATTTAGAGGGGAAATATAGCCGTTGAGCATGGTCCTGTCCTGATCACCAGCCTGCGCAACTATTGGCCTTGAAACAGTACTTCTGACAAAGTACTGAACCCAAAATCCTTCTTGGGTTGTAGTAATACTGGTTAGTATTATAAATAATAAATTTATTATTTATAAGTAACTAGGTTTACCCATCCACGTGCTGCTGTGGCTCATCCTGGCAAAATGAAAAAGAAAGAAAATAGAAAGCACATATGAGTAGATCAGTAGCAAAAGACATATGTCATTTTTAAAAAGTTGGGAAACAAATTTGTCTGCAAAATAGCTTCAATTTAAAATAATTCTAATGGTTTTTTTTCTCATGATTTTAATTGAACATTCATAATCATCTGAGTGAATACACCGTCATTTATAATCATCAGAAACAGTCTGAGTTGAACTTATAAAACTATATTAAAAAATTAATAAAAAAAACGTATAATAGTATGGACATTATATAGAATACATATTTGAGTTGCAGTAATAAATATTTTTTAGTACCTATTAGTTTATATTAAAAAAATTAATTTTTATTTCAGGTCGTAAAAGGTGAGGCGAGAGGAGCTAAAGTTGTCGTTCGAATATTAAGAGAAGATGCCACACCTGAGGAGAAGGGGTACTTCCTCCACGAAGCAAAACCTTTTCGTGACTTAAAGCATAAGAACATTAGCCGATTATATGGGCGGTGTCTAGAGCATGATCCGTTCCTTTTACTGTTCGAGTACTGCACAAATGTAAGTTTGTTTTAATTGATTATTTGTTATGTTCAATAGTAATATTAATGTAATAATAGTCATAATTTTTTATTTTAATGATTTTTAATATTGAGAGTTATAAAATAGCCAAAGTTATTGAAAAGATCTAGTTGACAATGAAGTACAAGCTCATTTAAGAATTAGTTTGTGGTTGTGACAGATGAGATTTGGGACGTTAGCTCATTAGCTGGACCTCGTCCTTTAGGATAACGCTTAGATAGCACAGTAAATGATCTGTAAAGATGGAGTAGAATAGTCTGTGAAACAACAATGGAAGAATGGAATGGACGATGGCCGAGTGCGAAGAGTACCATTCTAAGGTAGTTCTTTCACACCATCCACACCAGATTGAATGCAACATGGGAGATACCAGACTATTGGTTCTTGCCTGATCCTCACGGGACATGGGGGGTTCAAAGAAAAACTCAGAAAATATGGTAATACCATGGACCACCTATCTTCTGATTACAAAGACCTGGACCCAGCTGAACATGCGATGTTAACCTGCACTGCTAAGAAACTATATAAAGCCTGATTGGAAAGAAGAATGGGCCGCTATGCTTTGAGAGAAGAGGACCTGCCATGCCTGATGGAGGACAACCATCACACTTTGTGGAGTTCATGAGAAGGTGGAGCCCAGGCACTTCATGATAGGGAGGGGATGAATCCAAGAAGAAGAGAGGAGAAGACGACTGGCCGAGCCAGGAGGATCTGACCGGAGGCAGTGATTCAGAAGAGCAACCTGCAGGAGTTTAAGTTGCGACCCTTCCTGTAAGGTGCACACTTTACGCACTGAACTGGACAACAATAGAACCCCTCTTATTATTGTTCCCGTGTTAAACAAATCCTAGGCAATGTAAAATAAGAGAATTTATAATATAGGGTGTTTTATTAGTAGCAGTGGTGATATGTATCCCATCCAACCCATGTATCAACCCATTGCTACTGAAACCACATATGGCAGTAAAATACTGTAGGTAAAAAAAAAGATGAGATTTGGAAGAATTGCCAAGAGCCTTCCTCGGACTATATAAACTTTGCCAGAATTATGAACCATGTAATCTTATACCCATCCATCGCATTGGAAACATACTTGTATAGTAGTACTAAATATTTGTTATGTACGTATTATATATTTAAAAAAATTAATTTTTATTTCAGGTTATATGCTTTAGAACCTTAATGTTATTTATTATTTATATGTAGTTTTAGTAGTTAGTTGAGTTTGTGGTTAATTCATATTTGGTCAATTTGTTTGAAGTTAACTTAGGAGTCCCGGGACTTCCGTATAAACTCCGCAAATTCCTACTCCCTACATACTTCCTCATTATCCGTTCCAACCTTGCTGATAGATATTTCAAAGTAAACCGAAATAATGTCTGCTTATCCTTCTTTGCTCAATTTGCAGGCACTCTAAACTTTCAATTAATTACAAAAGACTCATCTACATAATTATAATAAGACCTATATGGACATATGGAGTGGAGCTTTGGGGCTCCACCAAACCATCAAATTCCTTACGTATCCAATCCTTACAATCCAAAATCCTTAATGCTCCATAATTTGTCACAAATAAAACCATTCATAACCATATGTCGCTGGTTTAGCCCGAGCCAGATATCTATCCTTTCATGATAAACTCCAGTCCCATCCAAATCCACTTGTTTCAGCCTTGCTTCTTCCTCAATTCCTGATAATCCTCCTAGGCGTCTGAAAAGTATTTTTAAAGAGTTATAAATGATAAGGAGGGCAGAATGGCTGAGCACGTTAGGGTGTTGGTTCCAGAGTGTCCGGTTCTGAATGTTATGGGTTTGATTCCCACCTGGGTCAGTTAATTTTCATTTCTTGGTAGCCTCAGGAAAAAGAATTTGACATTTCTCTGTCAAATATGCAATGGCAACCGTAAGGTTGGCAGGGTTGATAAAAAGGACCATGTGGCTCACTTACCAGATTAGTTTCTTCACCAGTACCAGTATCAATGATAAGGTTACATTGTTTTATGTTTATCTGTGAATTTTTTTTCACGAACATTGTGAAATCAAGACATTAATTATATTTATATTAAATACAAGGCACCTGGTTAGGATTGTATTTTAAATTGTAATTCATTGATAAGAGTAATCGATAAATTGTTAAAAATAGTTGTTCTTATCCAAAACTGGCTGAAAATTGTAATATTATTTGTGGCGACTTAAACAGAGAACAAACAAAAAATTATTATTTATATATTTTTAAGATTTAAGTTAAGTAATCCTGGTACTATTATAAGTGATTTATATTTATTTCTGTGTTATCCAGGGTGATTTAAAAAGCTTTTTGGTGACTAATAGTGGCAGTAGAAATGCAATTACTGAACAGAAAATCTCATTGAAGATGATGATCGATGTTACGGAAGGACTGAAGTTTATGAATGAACATGGTTTTATTCACACGTGAGTATGCTATCATATCAACTAAAACTGAACTGTGCAGCTCTGTTGCATCTTTGTGAATTTTATCTATCCATCTGCTTTTTGGCCTTCCATGTGGTCTTTTTCCTTCTATTGAGGCATTCATTGTTATGTAGAGGATTCCAGATGGATCACTATGAGCTACATGCCCCGCCCATCTTAACCTCCATGCCTTCTTATCATGTGATATTGATTGATCAGTTTCTATAAGCAGTTCTTTATTGGTCTTTCTTCTCCATGTATTAGTACTCTGATCCTAGATCGCTCTGGTTATCGTGCGGAAGATTTCCCTCTCAAATCTTTCAATACTTTTTTCTAGGGTGCTGGTTAGTGTCCAGGTCTCACAGCCATATATTAGAACTGGCTTTATCATAGTATTGTACACCCTTAGTTGGAGATTTTTCCGAATTTCAATACCTTTGAGAGGGAGGAGAAAGTTCTGTTTGTGCTAATTATATGCTGCTGTATTTCTGCCCGTTGTTCATTCGTTGAGATTATTGTAGAGCCGGGGTATTTGAATTTTTCTACTCTCGGGAATGATTCTATGCAGATCCTGTTATTGGGGTGGAATTTTCAGCTTATTATCATATCTTTTGTTTTGTCTTCATTTACTTGTAGGTCGATATGCTCTGCCTCTCTTATCAGTATTGTAGGGAGAGGCACCTGTTCGAACTTTGAAGGCTTCAGATACTTCTTGGATTCCAGGACTCTACATTTGGGGTTATTTGTACACACCTTTACCAATCTCACCTACTTACCGGGAAATCTCAGTTCATTCATGATTTTCCAAACACAGCTTCTGTCCACAGAACCATCGGCTGCTTTGAAATCGACGAATAGGGCGTGTACGTCCTGAGCTACTTCCTATCGTTTTCGAGTACTTGTTTTAGGATGAAGATCTGGCCTAGCGTGCTCCTCCCTTTTCTGAATCCAGCTTGGTGGTCGCCTATTATATTCTCGAAATACGGATATACCCTTTTTAGTAGGATATTGGTCATTATCTTGTAGGCAACTGGAAGGAGTGCTATGCCTCTGTAATTACTACACTCATACATGAAGCCTTTCTTTAGGGTAGGAAAGATTATGCCCGTATTGTAAGCCTCCGGTATCCTTTCCGCTTCTTATAATTTCTGGATTAGTTGTAGTAGCTTGGCTCTGAAGTCGTCTCCTCCATCTTTAAATAGTTCTAATGGTAGGTTGTCTATATCTATATTAAATTAGTCATATTAAATTACTAATGTTATTTATTTCTTAGGGATCTTGCGGCTAGGAATTGTTTGGTTGCTTCAGATTTGACTGTCAAAATAGGAGACTACGGAACTAGTGTTGATAAGTATCAGGTAATTTGTAATTTATTAATATAATCTTAGATGTTATTATATTATTATTTTAAGTATTAATTTTTGTCATTTTGATTTCAGAATGAGTATTACATTGTGGGTGATGTTGCAGTCCCTATCCGTTGGTGTGCTCCGGAATCTCTCACCTGTACTCAAACAACGATAGAAACTAAAGAGGTTTGTTCAAACTAAGTTAGTTATCTGAGGTTCACTATTGACTGTTTCTCTTGTTTTTATTTTCAGAATCCTATTATAGCTTGTTTCATTTGTATTCATTAATGTATTTTTTTACCATTTCAGGAATGTTGAAATCATTTTTAAAGATTGAGCACATAGTTCTTAGTCAGTTGAGCTTGATCTCAGTCAAATCACCTCCTTGATTTTTTTATATTTTTGACCCATTTCCTGGCATTTTTGCCATACGGGGTTTCAGCAGTGCGTTAATATGTTGGGAATACGTACCGCTACTGCTGCCAATACTCTTAATAATAATACTCTTTATTTTATTTTATTGTCACTGCGGTGAGGCCCGGTGCACGGGTGTGCGCCTTACTGATGGAACCGCACCTTAGTCTCCAGCTGGTTGCGTATCTTGCCCTCCTGGGTAGTTTCCTCCAACATTTTTTAAGTTTCACTGTATTGAAATTTTTTCACACATTAAAAATTATGCTCATTGACTTTTTTTTTTTTTTTTCCCAAAGAACCCTTAACTTTGATTGTATTAACTATGGTATATTAAACTATGTTTTATTTTATTTTTATTTAACTATATTTTTAGGTCACAGAAGGAGGTAATGTCTGGTCATTGGCAGTTCTACTTTGGGAAATAGCAGAATTCGGCAAGTTGCCATACCAGGACTTGACTGATGATGAGGTTATTACACGAGTCTTGGTCCAGGGCTCAGCTCGATTGCTTCCGCCCAACTGCTCCTTTGGCCATTATTTGTTAGTATAATTTTTTTTTTTTTAATCAGTACAGAAATGACTTGTTATCATGAATTCAGTTTATAGGATACCTCAAATAACACATTCTTCCTTTACATTCATTAAACTTCAAATGAGATTTATATTTTTTTCTTTACCAGTGCTACCTATTCTTTGCTATGTGGTGATTGGATTGATATTTAAAAAAAAAGTTAAAATTGACCAAATAACTTAGATTGAATCTTTCATCTTATCAATGTTCACATTACAATGAAATTTGAATATAATACGTTTCAGAAAAAAAAAATTTCAAAATGTTATTAGAAAAGTAAAATTTATTTTAATGAGATATATATTTTTCTTGGCAAATTAGCCAATGTTAGATATTCCTTATTGCCGGTTTACTGGATTATTAAAAAAAAAATTTTTAGTTTATCAAAATGTCTATTCCATCAATGATTTATTATAATATTGATTGAATCTTTTCTCTTATCAAACTTCGATATTACAAAAAATGAAATTTGAAAATAAATTAATATTTTGTTGTATTGAAAGAGGTTTGAATCTGGGTGGAACAGTACTCTTGCTTGGTTCTGCTGATGATATCTTAAATGATTGTGGGCAGGGTGGCCGAACAGGATAGTGCATGTGCACAGCAACGCTGTTGCTCTGTAACCTGATGTATAAGACATTGATAAAAAATAGTCACGGGTTCTCATCTCAGTGCTGGGGGAGTCTTTAAAATCCCTCTGGCCCGGGAAAACCCCGTATAGCCTTAAAGGTGAGGACAAGAAAAAAAGGTTATGCTGATGATATCTTAAATGATTGTGGGCAGGGTGGCCGAACAGGGTAGTGCGTGTGCACAGCACCACTGTTGCTCTGTAACCTGATGTATAAGACATTGATAAAAAATAGTCACGGGTTCACATCCCGGTGCAGGGGGAGTCTTTAAAATCCCTCTGGCCCGGGAAAACCCCGTATAACCTTAAAGGTTAGGACAAGAAAAAAGGTTATGCTGATGATTTGATCCTGTTAAGTGTAAACACAGAAACTATAAAATTAAATGTGACAACGTTAATGAAAGCTGGTAAAGAACTGGGTCTTGAAATATATACAGAAAAGACAAAATATATGTGCACAATATTGGGGGGGGGCCCGGTACATGCTGTATGACCGAGAGCCCTGTTCTTGTGATATAAAAAAAAAGAAAATGTTCGATAGAGGAATACTTGTGAATGATGCTACCAATTGTTTGTTAATAATATTTTTATTTCTGTTTTCGAAACAACGTGAAGGGGCAACCTGTTTTATTGTGAATTAATCTAATAATTTGACATACAGTTTGATGAGGGGCTGGTCTCGCGCCTGTGGTCCGCCTTCTCTCAGCTCGTCCAAAGTTTTGGAGCTGTGGTGTGTAGCCGAAGGGCTGTAATTCTCTCATAGTTGGCTGAGCAAGTCTTCCTTTAAGTCGGCTGAGCAAGTAGGCTGTAAGCCGTATGGTTCCGTACTTCGTCTTCAAAGATGTGACGTTGGCCGTAGATAAGGCCGTCTTAGAGAGAGGGTAGGACAGGATGAGAGCGAGGAGGCCCCCATGTTATTTATACAAGTGAATAATGTAATTCTAAATATTATATACAACTAAAATTGTGGATGTGCATCCAACAATATGGTTAGCTATAAAAACAGCGACAATTTGGGTGATATTGATTTAGACAGGAATATGTTCAAACATATAGAGAAGTTTAGGTATCTAGTGTCTACCATAAGTATAAAAAAACAAAATTGAACAGGAAATTAAGCTAAAAGGCGGATAATGCTTATTATTCTTCTTTGTCAAAACTACTTACCTCATGCCTCCTATCCTGAAAGTTAAAAATTAGAATTTACAATGAGGAATAAGCAACGCCTTTAGCTTATTGAATATAAAGTATTGTGTAAAATATTTGGACCGAATAAGGATGAGTCAACAGGAGAATGTAGACGGTGATACAATGCCAAAATGCGTGTACGAAAATGGGCATGTAAAATTGTTGGGCTTAGTATCAAAAGAATCCTTAAAAAGTTAATATGTGCTGTTCTGACTGATAAACTTCCTAGGAATAGACCGAAGCAAAGGTGGGAGGATTGCGTCAAGGCTGATCTGGCTAAACTTGTTTTGGATGGAGAACGGTGGAGAGAGGTGTTTAAAAAATCGATTAGCGGAGTTGGAGTTGAACCTTCGGGTCCACTAATCCTTTTATTATTATTAATATTATCAGATTGAATATATTAATTTAAACTTCACATTTCATTTGCGCTTTTTCTTTATTATTAACCTACCATTATTATTTTTTTTTTCAGGCATAATGTAATGACTCTTTGTTGGAGAATGGAAAACAGAGCAAACATTGAACAAATCTTAATGATGCTTATGTATCTCAAAAATAATCCATTTCAAGAGTCTGATTTTGAATCTCGCTGGAGGGCACTCAAGCCTAATACTGTTGTGGTAGTTGATAATCATACACCTATCCATTCGCCAAGGCATACGGAATTGGCTCAGAGGCCTCACCTTACTACCAAGCTCGAATTTGACTCTGGGGTCGATTTGGAAATCAAACCCACCGATGAGAATCCGGATTCATGTAGGACTAGTACGCCAAACACAGTATCCCCTCAGCTTTCTGTAGCAAGTGAAGATATTTTCCATCCTGTTCAGCACAAGTCACCTAGTATGACCAACCTGAAAGGTTCCCTCGAGGACGTAGCCCAGTTCGATTCTTGGCTTATGGGAGTTGAGCAGAAAACGGAGGAAGACCGTAACTTTGTTAAAAACATATCAGAAGCGATTAAGAACTTGGATGAAACATTGGCCTTAGAGAAGACTTCTTCTTCTTCCCAGGACTCGAGTATGGAGGGTTCTAAAAAACCTTTGCTTGACTTCAAACTAGGTCCTACGGGAAATGAAAAAAAAGGTGATTCATCAAGTTCCGACACTGAAGAAGAGACTTGGAGGAACAGGATAGAAAGAGGAGAATTCACTGAGAAGGTGAAGGAGAAATCTAAATCAGTTACTGACCTGATGGTATTGACTCACATCGACAGTGAAGGCAGTGAATCAGATTCATTGCCCAGTCTTACGAGACAATATTCTGTGAAGAAAACCACTGTCAAAGGTGTTTCCTACACAGGAATTGGCTTCGGGAGCGAAGGTAACATAAGGAATGCTGTCCTCAGTGAGGAACTACAGGACAAGCTGAAACAATTGACGACTTGGAAAAATGAAACTCAGTCTTTTTTAGTGAAAGGAGCCTCGGAAAAGAATAACAAAAATTTATTATTTATGGCTGCTAAGGAGGCTTCAGCGCCTATTTCGGTGGGTGATGAAGATCCCTCAGCAGCTATTAGCAGTGCTGCCACAATTACTGCTGGTGCTGAAGACATAGCGTGTTCACAAACTGCACCCTTCAACAATGATGGCACCCCTATGTCATCAGATGTGACTGTTATTTCTAGTTCTCATTCAGAAGAAAATTCCATTGTAAATATGAAGGCCAAGAATGTAAATAAAGAATCTGTGATGAAAGAAGAGATGAATGTAAATAGCGATTGTATAAAAGGTAATTTGGTCGATAATGAAAATACTGTAATATCTAACATAAAGATCTCTGAGAGTGTAGGTACTGAAGATCGTCGTGAGTTGGTTGTAGATAGTAAACAATCGGCTTCTAGTCATTCTAACATGGACTCTGTTCCTGAAATTGTTATTACTGAATCAGAGTCGTCCCAAGTTCTCGATGAACTCGAACCCTCTGTAGATATGCAATATGTAGTCGATATTAAGCCGAGAAAATTTGTTTTTGTTTGTAAGGATGCAGACTTGCTTTCAGATAGTAGTGACGATGAAGAAGATTCAAAGCAAGATTTTCAAGTTATTGAACCGCAACAAGAAAAAGGATCTTGCTCTGTTATTTTAGGATCCTGTGAAGAACATACGTTAGATTATTTTAAAGGCCTTAAAACTACATTTACGCCTAATGTTTCTTATGTTGATAATGCCCCTCAGAGGGAAGGTAGCTTTGATCTTGATGAACATTGTGTTAAAGAAGAAAGTAATATTGTCGAAAAGCATCCTGAAGTTAAAAAGTTACCTGAAGTTTCCATAGTGACGTTTAGCGACCAGTCTGTTAACAATTCGTCAGAAGATTCTAAGCTCCATTTTGATGAAGAACATATCAGTAATAAGACTACAAGAGGCAATATATCTAGTATTGAAGATGGAGAGAAGGGAGAAGATATTTCTAAAAATATTGGGATGAACTTTAGTGGTTTTAATGAATCTTTCTTACATATCATTGATTCTTTTATAGATAATGAAAGGGCATATACTGCGCTGTCAATTGTACCTGATAAAGAGTTATCTTCGGGCATATCAGTCAACTCAAAAAAAGTAGCATCCGCCGAAGAGACAGTTGAAAAAAACACAATTTCCAACCCAATAGTTAATACTCCAATAGATGAAAATAAACTTTCTAATATTTCTAGCCCTATCATTACAGAAAATCCTTTTATTACAGAAAAATCTTCTGAAGAACATTTAGATGATGATAAAATTGGTGAAAACAAGCTTTCCAAACTGACAGATCTTAATAGTTCTTTCAAAATAGAAAATCTGTCTTCATTCGAAAATTTAGTGGAAACTCCAACAAGTAGAAACATGATTTCTGAACATACTGATATTACTAGCTCTGCAAAAAAACTAAATTCTTTTACATCAGGAACCCCATCTGAAGAATCTTTAGTAGAATCTCCCCTAGAAGAAAATTTGTTTTTCGATCTTAAAGGTCTTAGTAATCCTTTCAAAATGGAAGAAAGCCACTTATCATCTGACAATTTATTAGAAACTCCAACGATTGGAAACACTTTTTCCAAACAAATAGATCTTTTATTTAACTCTGACCAAATAGGTAATCCTTCTACACCAAGAGCCTCTTCTAAACAAGATTTAGTAGATGTTACATTAAATGAAAATGTATTCGCTAATCAGGTAGGTCTTAATAGTCCTTTCAAAATGGAAAATCTATTGTCATCTGAAAATTTAGTGGAAACTCCATCAGGTGGAAACATGATTTCTAACCATACAGATCTTAATAGCCCCTTCGAAGGACAAAATCCTTTTACATCAGGTTCATCTTCTGAGAAAAGTATGGTAGATGTTACGTTTAACGAAAATATGTCCTCCAAACAAGTAAATCTTGATAGTCCTCTAAAAGTGAATATCCCATTTTCATCCAAACATCCAAATTTTACAGTCCACAGCGAAATAGGAAATCCTATTATTTCAAAAAACACTTCTGGAGATTTGAAAGATATTAAAATGAATGAAAAATCATTTTCCAAACTAGTAGATCTTGACAGTATTAAAATGGAAAGCCCTGTTTCATCAGGAAATTCATTCGAACATTTAGTTCAAGTTGCAGATGGTGAAAACAAGTTTTCTAAAATGGTTGAACTTTCAAGCCCATGCAAAATTGAAACTACGTTTTCTTCGGGTACCTCGTCTGATGAATATTTTACAGATGCTTCAATAGACAAAAACTTGTTTTTCAAACAAGTAGATCTTGATAGTCCTCCCCAAATGGAAAGCTCTGTTTTGTCAGGAAGCTCATCCGAAGAACATTTAGTTGAAATTCCAGAAGATGAAAACAAGTCATCTAATAAGGTTGAACCTCCAAGCCCTTACAAAATTGAAACTACGTTTTCTTTGAGGATGTCACCTGAAAAACATTTAATAGATGCTTCAATAAACAAAAACTCATTTTTCAAACAAGTAGATGTTGATAGTCCTTCCCAAATGGAAAGCCCTGTTATCTCTTCCGAAGAACATTTAGTTGAAATTCCAGTCGATGAAAACCTTTCTAAACAGGTTGAACTTTCAAGCCCTTGCAAAATTGAAACTTCGTTTTCTTCAGGAACTTCATCTGTAGAACATTTAGTAGATACTACATTAAACAAAAATGTATTTCTTAAACAGGAAGATATTGATAGTACTAAAATGGAAAGCTCTATTTCATCAGGAAACATATCCGAAGAACATTTAGTTGAAGTTCCTATTGATGAAAAAAAGTTTTCTAAAAAGGTCGTACTTTCAAGCCCTCGGACAATTGGAACTTCTTCATCTGAAGAACATTTTGTTGAAGCTCCATTCCCATTCAATCAACCTGAGCCGGTAGATGTTCACTCGAACATAACAAATGTCAAAGCAAAATCTTTGGATTCTTTCTTATCACCGAAGAACGGTTACGAACACTTTGTTACCCTACGTAATGGTTTGTATGTGGAAGACGATAGTCATATAACTAATTTTATTCCTGTGTTTAACATGACTGAATCGGTTTCTGAAAATGCTTTTATGAGTCAAAATCTTTATTATGATCCTTATTTCTCTGTAGATTCAGGACACAGCTCTGATCGTTGTATTGAGCAGGATAAAAAAATGAATGACTTGAAAAACAGGCTTGAGGATGTCGTTAAATCGGGTAGTGATTTTCAACTTAAGAATTCTGAAGAAGAATATGGTGGTAAAATCCTCACGCCAGATGATGAGAGGAGTTCAGATTCAGGTTTCAGGGACAAAGGGAGTTTGAGTGAAAGTGTTGAGGACACATGCGACGAAAAGTATAATTTAGAAGACATCGATGCTGAGCTTGATGAGTTTACATTAAAAAATATTGACATAAAGGAAGATCTCAAATATTATGAGCAGCTTGTTGAGCCTGACCAAGAAATTACTTCTGGATGGTTTCTTCATGTCAGACCTGAGTCGACTACTGTTGATTCAAAGGATAGTGGTTGGCTGTCGCAATCCACTGAAGATGAAGAAAGATTACCATTGACCATTGATGCTGAGTTTGCTGCGGCTATTAGAAATGAATTAAAAGAGAAATTACCTTGTGCGCAGCAAGTAGAAAAAACTGAAGAGGATGCTTCGCCTGAGCAGGAACCTGCCACAGATAAATTTACTTATCCATCACAACTCTCTCCGATATTGGAAGAACAGGAATCCAATCAGTCTTCTTTACAGCTCAATGATTGCAGTCCTGTGTTCGTTCTACCGCTTCCAGAAATCAAAACTGATACGTTTAAAGAAGACATCGTAAAAGCTTTTGAGAGTTTAGAATCTTCAAAAAATGGTATAATAATGGAGGATTTAGAAGATGGAAATGGACTAATGGTATTCAGTGACGATAGAATTATTGTAGATGATGATGTTTTAATTGTTGATACCGAGACTAATGAGGCAACATTAATTGAAAGCCCTAAACCTCAGTCCCATTTGGCTTTTATTTTGACCAAGAAAGAACCAGAATCTTTTATTGATAATGATTCACCAGAAGTTAATTCAGATGTGTATGTTTTAACTCCTGATAATGCTCCTTTGACTCCTAATTCTGTTAATACAGATTCTCATTCCTCTCCTGAAAATGCAAACATGTCTGGTTTGTTCCTCTCACCTTGTTCTATTAGATCTGATCTGTTTGATTCTGGTCCTCCAAGTTTGCCTTTTGATCTAGGGCAATCTTTGGAAGAAGTTGAAGATATCCCTGCTTGCGAAGAAACTGTAATTGAAAACTTCACTCCAGAAATCTGTAATGGCAATGCTTCAGATCATATTATTGACAACGATATAAGTATTTTGAAGGGAAATGAAGCAGAAGTTATTGATAATAAAAAAGTTGATGTAATACAAGTGGAACTAACAAAAGATTCAACAAATAACCTTCTTGAGCCATTAAGTACATTACAAGAACATGAGGAAAATAATAAGAAATCATATAGTATTGAAGTTAATCTTGATCCGTTGTGCCCAGCAAATTCTAATTTAAAAAGATCTCTTGCTGATGAAAAAGTCCCGAAACATTTGAGAGCAGAAGAAGAAATTGACAGATTACTGTCTCGTTCTAATAAAGAAAATGAAATTGAAAATACTAATCATTTAAACTCCAACAGCGCATTGAGGAATGACTGGCTCAAAGATCTTTTTACAAACAACATTAACAGTTCTGAAATAAATAGCAAAGAAGACAAAAATCATGTCAACGGCAATCTTCGAAAGACTGATTGGCCTACAATTGAGGAACTCGTCTATGAAAAACGTTCAGAAAAAACAGAACAGAATAATTGTCTGAAACCGAACATTACGTCTACACTAGCTCTCATGTCCCCAGATCTCAGTTCTGCTGATAGTAAATCACTTGCTTCTTCTTTTTCATCGACACCATCTTCTGATGAAAATAAGACTGTTGCAATGAGTACTGAAGACAGCGATAGTTCAAAATCTAGCGAGAAGTTAGCCAAACCGAATACTTTGAACTTGAAGAGTGATGCTTCCGGTGCTCCGATGCCAAGTCCCGAAGATGCAGAGAAAGGTTGGCGCCCGACCATCTGCCAGCTTATGGAACTGACGGACCAGGCTGCTGCTGATGGGGAAGAAATGACAACTTCTTTCATCGAACCTGATGAGAATGGCATCTACACTCCAGACTGGGAGAGTGATATTTCTGAAGAACAATCTTCTTCTAGTGGAGAGTTCGTTTGGAAGGTTAGTTTGTTAAAAGCTTATTTTATTATTGGTGATACTGGAATTTAGATAGCTTTATTTCATTTGCAGTTAGGATGAATTCATGAAAACTACTCTTATTAACAATTCATTATTTGATAAGTGATATATTAATCCAGAGTATTGTTGTGTAAAATATTTATTTTATATTATTTGTTTTACTTCTAAAAAATTTCTTTGTTTTATAGACATTTTTATTTCTATTTGTTTTTTTTGGTATGGATTTATTTTTAGCATAATCATAGGGTATAGGATACTTGCATGGAAAAAAAAGTTGCCTAAAATTGAGCTATAATAGAGGTTCACATTTAGTTAATTACTTGAGATGACTGTGAGTGGGCAAGGTATTATGGGGGCTTTAGGAGAATGGACTGTTTAAGTTCTGGTGTTTAGATTTGCTATGATACAATTTTTTTGGAAATGGAGAGTTAATTTTTTGTTTTTAAGATTATTTTTATTTTAAATGATAATGAGATTATAAAAAAAAAAACTATTATTTAAGACGTATAAAATTACTCATCTTTGTAGCCGTTTCTATACTTTTATGCCTAGCTTATTTTGTTCTTTTACAAAAACTAATAGAAAACATTTTAAACTAAATAATTTTAGTCAGAGACACAGTAAAGGAAAAGAAAAAAATGAACAGATATTTCTTGGATGGAAGTTTTGATGCTAGAAGCAAATCGGTATGAACTGGGTCCTTGCAGCTCGTGATATAGCTGTGTCTCTACTCTAATGACATCGCTCCTTACTCCCACCACTCTTCTTTAACACTAATTATCTTTGCAGATATGCATCGGAAAAATTAAGAACTTTTTGCATTTTTATTGTTATAATTTAATCTTCAATGACAAATAAAATTTTATGCAAGTATATAATTAATTATATAATGGTAATACTGGTAACATTTACATGGTGTAATATTTGATTTTACATATACAAAGCAAGACGGACAAAACATTTCTTGTTCCCAGAATTATTTCCATTATGGTCACAAATTGGCAATAAGGATAAATATAATTATACAATAGTATAAATTGGCAATATATGTAATATAGGTTTTTAAAGAAATTGAAAATTTGTCCGAACTGTGGTTTCGTTCAGTTTATTTTATGTTGGTAAAAAATAATATAATCTGAACTACAGAATACATGTTAATTACAGTTATAAAATTTGTGCTGGTTACAATGCAAAGAGCAGTACAATTAAATGAACTGTTGGTCCGCTGTTTTGCAGACAAGGTGGTACCCCGCTTATTAAATTAAATTTAAAGCAGTACCAACCATAAGTTGAAAATATGAATAATGCAAATTAAAGACAAAGAATTCTATATTATCGATAGAATGTGTAAATAATGGTAGTATTGTTTTTTGTTATATTTTTGAACGATTGTCTCAATTTTTCTAGAAAATAGCTTTTAGGTAATTGATGATTTTTGGTGAATTAAGTTTTTATATTTGTCTTAAGTATATTTATTTTTAAAAATGTGCTTTTTTGATTAGTTTACTTGCTATCTTAGATTGGATTTTTATGCTATGTATGTGTTGTGGTGCTTGGGTTGGGGCTGTGAATGTTTTTTGATGAAGGGTATTGCGCATTTTCATAGTTTTTTGTTAAGCCAAATATTTGTAACTAATATATATCATTGTTATCAAAAATTATTTAAAATAATATTTTCAAAAGAAAAGGTAATTCAATCATCGTCCGAATTTCAATTATTGACATACGTCTCCCTTATGATTGACATTCTTTTATGAAGAATGTGAAGAAATCAAAAGGGGGAAGCTTTTTGATCAAAGGTATTGAGGAAGAAAGACAAGTAGAAAAACGGAGCAAATCCAAGGCATCCCAATTGGAGACTTGAGAGTGCCCTAAAACATCAAGGATAAATCTAATGGAACAAGTTATTAGTCTCTTAAGTTTAAATTTAAATTGAAAAATAAATATATTTTGAAGGCTGGAGTTAAAAGTTTTTTTTTAGAAATACAGTTGAATCATGCTAATCTAAATCCAGATTATCTGGGCAGCATTCAAGACAAAAATAATTAAGGTTAGGCAAAATAAAACAGTTAATTTAGTGAGCCCAATAACTTGAAAAACAAACTTTTTTTTTGTTTAACTCTATAATAGCTACTAAAATTATCTGGGTTGTATACATTTCACCGATTCTTTATTATTTCCATAATAAAATAATGGCAATATTTCGGCTTTTTAAACCATCTAAAAAGACTTATTAGACATTAATATTTTATAATTTAACATGACAACATCATTAACAGTAAAATGAGAGAAATAGTATAAATTCTTAGGAATAATAGAAAATAAATAGTAAGATAGCAAAATATATAAACTTTCAGCTAAGAAGAAGAAAGAGAAGAAAGAAGAAAAATAAATTTTATTCTGGGACTAAATCCCCTTAGAATAACCACGATATAAAATTTAATGACAATTGTCTGGCATTAGGAATAAATTAAATTACATGATTGTCTAGTTCTAAGATTACAATAAAGAAAAGGTACTGTTAGCTATATGAAATCATAGATAAATTGAGATGTGTGAGTTTACATATTTGTACACATTAACAATGTGGGTGATATATAATTATCTGCCAGATAATATTAAAGTGACTGACAGATCTGAAAAATGTGAACATTATTTTACACATATTCGGAAGATTGATTACTGAGGAGATGGATAAATAAATTATGTTTAACTGAGGTCAAGGATGATGATTTGCGTATGGAGGTTGGTAGGGAATTCCAAAACAAGGTAGCAAGCATGAAAAAGGATTTTTTAAAGAAAACAGTTCTATGAGAAGGAATAAACAGGTTTGAGGGCTGGGATCTCGTGTTGAACGAATGCACAGAGGAACAATTAGTAAACAAATCGAGAATGTAAGAGGGTTTTTTGGTTGAAAAGGTTGGAAAAAGGAATACACCTAGGAAGTATTGCCGTCGGAAGATTGCATATAGCCATTTCATGCCAACTGGAGACGTGGGAACGCTTGGGGTAGCTAACAATTCATTAGTCTCTTTGATCTAATCTCAAGCCTACCAGAAAGTCCACCGTATACAAGGCAGCCATAATGGAAATGAGAGAAAATGAGGGAGGAAACTAGGAGCTGTCAGATTTTAAGGGGCATGGAATCACGGAATCTTAGGAACTGTTTGAGGGTAGCAATGGATTTTCGGTGGGCGTGGTGGCCGAATGGGCTAATGTGTGTGCACAGCACCGCCGTTGCCCGGCAACCTGATGTATCAATCAAATGATATAAAAATATTCACGAGTTCGCGTCCCGGTGCCGAGGGAGTCTTTTAAATCTCCGCCCACACTCCCTGGCCCAGGAAAACCCCGTATAGCCTTAACGGCGAGGAAGGGGAGGACAAAAAAAAAAAAAAAAAAAAAAAGAATCTGATTTTATGTAATACAATATTTTTATTTAAAGCTTAAAAATTCATATAATTTTGCATGTTTAATTTTATTGACTCAATCTGATTTTAGAAAATGATTAATTATTGTTAAATTAAGTAGATGTTAAACATCACTATTAAATTAAATGTTAAATTGTGGAAATATAAATATTAAATATATTATATAAATATTAATCAATAAGTCTTTTTAGATAACTTGAAAATTGTGTAAAAATCCAAAATATTGCCATGGTTGTGGAAATAATAAAGAATCGTTGGAATGTATACAGCCTTAAGTACAGTTTTAAGTGTAAAATGTATACAGTTTTTAAGATTTTTATTGGCAACATTTTAATCCAAACTTGTGGGTCAAGTTATATTATAGACATATTATGAACTCTGAAGGTTACAAGTCACAAGCTTGGGATGAAAAATTGGCAATGAAAATCTTAAAAACTGACTGCGCCCCAAGTATCTATCACCCCTATTAATATTTTAGTGACTTAAGAAAGAAAAAGTGGCTAAAATAATTTTACAAAATATTCCGTTTAATCTGGACTTTAGATGGACCAGGATGAGATTTAGACCCACATCTATCCTATATTAGTGGGACTGTGAAATTTTTATATTGCTACTTATTCAGATGATTAAGAATGCCTTTTCTTTTGTAAAATTTGGTATATAGGCAATAACCCAATTATTTTAGTTTCAATGTTGCTAAGTTAAATAAAAAGTTTACTTTGTGTACTTATAATTTGGTGGTGGTGTTTTTTTTTTTATTAATGCTGTATTTGTTCTGTTCTGTTTTGTTTTTTTCCTTCCTTCTCTCCTCTACCTCTCAAAAGGAAGGGGACACAGAAGATCTGTTAAAATGTGTCGGCACTGATACAAACTCTCTGGTGAGAAATTTTTATTTATTTTATTTTTTTGTCTGTGTTATGCATGCCAGATATGTTTTCTTCATCTTCAACTAACATGCCTTACTAGTAGTGGTATTTAATAAAACTACTTTTTTTTAAGTACTTAATTTTAACTTGAAAGAATTTTTTAAATAAAACAAAAATTAAAATGGTATTGGTGCCCAATCATAAAATTTAGTTAAAAAGAAAAACTTAGATAACAGCGAATTAAGGTTACTTAATAATTTTACAAACCACTTAATATAATATTTTGCCGGGTTTATAGGCTTCTGCTGGCTTTATTTTGGACAGTAAACAACACTTATGCTGTTTCACATCCCCCAATGATGTCAAGTAATTATATTGTTTAGTAGAACTATAGGATTGTTTATTTATTAGTAAAAAAAAAAAAAAATGTTTACAGGCTATTCTAAGATTATAGACCATTTTGATTTTTCAAATTTAATAATTAAAAAAGTCAATAAAACCTGCATTTTGATTGTATTTTATCGAACAGGAAAACGTTTTTGGTAAAAAAAAAAAAAAATTAATGTATATTTCTAAAATTAAATGCCTATTCATCTCTTTTTTGCTCAGTTTGCTGGTATTCCTCAAGGTAGTATCCTAGGTCCTATCCTTTACACAGTTTATACAGCTGACATTTCAACCCAATCCAACACTGTCATCACCACCTATGCCGATGACATGTGTATCCTATCAGTTAACAACGATCCATCAATTGCATCCTAAACTCTCCAATCACACATCACAAGTCTTGAAGAATAGTGTCAAACCTGGAGGATTAAAATAAACTCCAATAAATCCCATCAAATTACCTTTACCCTGTGTCGCAAACCTATGACCTCCTGTCCTACAGTATCCTTTAACAATTCCCCACTTATCCCAGTTGAACAAATCCATTATCTAGAACTCCACCTGAACAAACGACTCACATGGAATCCTCATACAAGACTGAAACGACAAGAAACCGCTCAACGTTTCCGACTACTCCAACACTTACTAGACAAATGCTCTAAGCTTTCAATCAATTACAAACGACTCATATATATGACAATAATAAGACCTATTTAGACTCATGGAATTGAGCTTTGGGGCTCCACTAAACCATCAAATTCCTCTTGTATCCAATCCTTACAATCCAAAATCCTCAATGCTCCTTACTTTATCACAAATAAAATCATCCATAAAGACCTTAATGTTCCATATGTTTCCAATTTGGCCCAATCCAGATTCCTATCCTTCCTTAACAAACTGCAGAACCATCCGAACCCTCTCGTTTCAAACCTTGCTTCCTCCTCGATCCCTGATAACCCTCCGAGGCATCTGAAAAGAAGATGGCCTCGGGACCTTCTAATATAGAACTTTAATTTGAGTTCTACCAATGGGTAGTTTCTCTTCATGTTGTACATGTCATGTTACCGATGTCACATTTACTTGTATTTTTCATGTTATGCAGTTGTAAATTTCAATAAAAAAAAAAAAAAAATTTAAATTTTCACCTTCATTCGGCTTTCTCGATTTTAAATTTACTTAAATATATTAACAGCTAATGAAAATTATGTATCCTACTTAACTAAACACAAAATTTTAATATTTCAAATTTACTCAACAAATAATACAATATTTTATCTCACCAATCTAGCCATTTTTACTAAAACCTATATAAATATTATTAATCTAAATATTTATGATTACTCTATACCATAATATAACTATAATAATTTAACTGTGGGTTAGAGACTTCAAAGTATCTGGAATCGGGGGTTGAAATAATGAAATAAGCGTTGTGGTAATACCATTTGTATTAATGACAAGTGTTTACATTAAGTTGAGAAATGTTATTGCATCAAGTACTTGTACAAGATTGGTACTAAATGTTATAGCTATAACATAATTAAGAATTATTGTAATATTGACATTAATGATGAAGTTTGGTTTTAACTATTATGTCTTCCTCTTATAAAGAAAAGAATATACTTGTAAATGGTTATTGAAAGTATATTTTTGATTGTTGTAAAAAAATAAAATTATAAGGGCATTAGTGTTGCAACCAGCTTATAACATGAAATACATTGTTATCTAATCAATATTACTGGTTTAAATTTTTTTTTAACTGTTTCTTCTCATCCTGATACAGTTTTCTTTAAAGCTTACAATATTCTTATTTTTGCATTTTGTGTTGTGCATTTGCAATAAAGTTATTAACAATGTATAACACTTTTAATGCATTTTTGTTTTTATAGCAACTTTGTCGAATCATGTTTTGATAGTCCAATTTATTTGGATTAGCTTAATGGTAGAACATATGGAGCAAAGTCCCATCAGAAGGAATTTTGCACATGGTTTTATTGTTTGTGATATCATGACTTAAAATTACACAATAAACAGATGGTTACCAAAGCTAATAAAGGTTCTAAATTGTTATAAAGTTTATGACTCGACAATAACTCATTATGTTTTATGTTATTTGTAGAACGATGACATCATAGGAGGAGCTATGGAGCGAATCGAAGAAGAGGATGAAGATTGCAGCAGCTGTAATGGTAGCGATACCAGTTCTGAAACAAGCAGTGGCACCGAGTTTGTACCTTCAACATGGAACTCGATGGCAATCCCAATGAAATCTGCTCTCAAAGTCAATGCACCACAGGTTTGTAAATTTATTTAATATATCGATGATTTATTTCTAGAGCTTTGTTAGTACAATTTAGTTCTTATGAACTTACAAGATTTTAGAGATAATCTATTTGTCGGATTTATATCCTGGTAATTTAATTGTATAAATTTTATATTTATATATATATATATATTTAAGGATTTATTTTGAATACATCCTACTGGTCTCATTTGTTTTACTCACTCACTTACGGTGCCGAGCTATGTTCTGCAGAGGGATTAAGTCCTCGTGGCCACTAAGCATCCTCCCACTCCACCTCACTCACTTTCATGGGTAACCAGAGAGGCCACTGGTTCGTGAGCCCAGAGGCATCATTAACAGCCTATCGGCTACGTCTGACCCAATATTCATCTTTAACATCCTATCAGTTACACCCATCCGTACCGGAGGAGACGGCGTCAATGAGCCAGAAGACAGCAGTGTCATCAGAAAGATGAGTCATTATTCCCAAAAATAAGAGACCAGCTCCCTCTTATTCTTGTATGTAATAATTATTTCCATTTAACTAAAACCTCTAAAACAAATGCTCCTTCAGGAATATCCGTTTATATCAATGTACTAAAATTAATGGAAACTACTTTTTTTTTTTCTTCCCTACCTCGCCGTTTAGGCTATATGGGATTTACCCGGGCCGAAGGGTGAGGGCGGGAAATTTAAAATCCCCTCCGGCGCCGGGATCCAAACTCGTACTTATTTTTGTCTCTCAAAACTTCATATATCTGGTTGCCGAGCAACTCGCGGTGCTGTGCACACACTTTAGCCCATTCGGCCACCCCGCCCCCCAACGGAAACTACTTATTCACAAATATTCCCAACAATATTCGGAACTCAATTTTACCTACATAAGGAAAAGGCTCCCGGTCTTATTGCATGTACCTGTCCCCCCCAACATTATTGTACATACACCATCCATATTGAATATTTAATAGTTGAACGTTGCATTATAAAGAAAGGAGATGGTCTGGGGTGGCGGTCATAAATAGGCTAAATAGGGGCAAAACTATTTTATTAAAAGCCAACGTTTCGACCCGACTTTGCAGGTCTTCTCCAGGGAGGTGTGTTCATCTAGGAGTTTCACTTAGAACTACATCAGGAGTTTTATGAGCTAACTACGTCATGAGTTCTATAACTACATCATGAGTTCTAAGTGAAACTCCTAGCTGAACACACTTCCCTGAAGAAGACCTGTAAAGTCGGGTCGAAATGTTAGCATTTAATAAAATAGTTTTGTCACTATTTAGCCTATTTATGACCATCTCTGGACCATCTCCTACCATCCATATTCTTTTTAAATGTATAGGTAGGTATATTTCGTGGTTTTATCTTCTGCTAAACAAAATACTAAAAAGAAATTTTTGAAAAGTTTTAACAATTATATTTTAATAGTAAAATTAAAATTATATATTTTAATTCCTCATTACCAAAGGCAAGGAAGCTTTTATTCTTGCGAGAGGTTAAAAATATTTATTAACGGCTTGGCATGATAAAAAATTAAATTTTTTTTTTAAGCAGTATAGCTTGAAATTTACTTTGATTTAAAACTTATAAATTGGTTAATGACGTAACTTAAAAACAAAGACAGGAACTATCTGTATAATAAAAAAAAGACAGGATCATCCAATTTGAAGAGAGAAATACAACAACAGTGCAAGGCTGCTCAACTGTGCTGAGTTGCTAAATAGCTCAGCATATTCATCAATCAATAGATAATAACTGTAAGAAAATATAAGAGAGAGTTAGGTCGGAACATTGAAATATATACCAGATATGCCAAGAATGGTTTATAGAATCAAATAAGCGGAGACCTTGATCAACATATGTGGTGACGGAGGATTCCCGAGTCCAAAATAATAGTTTCCAACACTGAGCCTCTGCAAGAAATTACTTGTATCAAGAGGAATGCTTCTCTTGGTTCCAAACCATAGCCCTTTAAGCGGACCCTACACGGTAATTCATGAATGAACGTCACAAGAATGCCAAAGATTGCTCGGGATCGCTTTGATCATGAAGACCCCTACACGTTCAATCATTACTTATCGTTGCTGACACCAATTTAGCTCAGTTGTAAACAAAGAAATAGCATAGATCTGCTTATTTTGACATTGTCATTTATAATATTGGACATCAAAAGAAAAATGGAGATATAATAATTACTTCCTAGTGCCTGAAAATCGTTTAGACCAAAGTTAGAAAAATATAAGTCAACTACATACAAAAATCTAGGATAAGTATTGCGAAAATAATCAATTTGTTAAGAATAATGGAAAAATTAATGACAAATAAACACAACAGTTAAAGATTTTTTTTTCTATAAGTAAATTGTGAAGTTTCCACTTTTTTTTTTTCAATTTATTGCCTACTTGACTATTTAAAGAAAAAATAGTTGAAAATGGTTAATAAAAATATAGACTAAGGATATAAACAACTATTTACTTTTATGAAATTATTTACTTAAAACCGAGACCTAGGTAATCTAATCAATCTAGTAGTAAGGTTAGTCTCATAGAAAATCGTTTTGACAAAAGTTAGTAAAATATAAGTCTACTACTTACAAAAATTAAGGGAAGGTATTGCGAAAATAAATTTGTTGGGATAAATGGGAAAAGAACTGACAAAAAATATACACAACGTTAAAAGTTTTTTTTTTCTTAAAGTAAATTGTGAAGTTTCCACATTTTTTTTTTAATTTGTTGCCCACCTGACTATTTAAAAGAAATAGTTGAAGATGGTTTAAAAATATAAACAAGGGATATGAAAAATTATTTAACTATTTACTTTTAATGAAATTGAGAAATTTATAATGGTTGTGAGGCCTAACCTATCCAGCAGTATGGTTAGTCTCCCCACTACTTTTACCCCAGTCCCTCCTCCACTTCTCGTGAATGAACCTTTGATTTCCGGATGTTCAGAAATCCGCAACACACCACCATCAGTACTTCATTCACTACCTTACACGATAATTCGAAACGTCATTAGTGCCTCGAAATGCAATTCCGAATGACCGTGTAGGGTCCGCTTTAACTGATAATTCATCTCTGTACTTTTCTTTCAGGTAAGGTATGTATTTCGTATAATTTAAATGTTTAATTTGATAAACTTTCTAATCAGGGATCTAAATCTTGATTTTTAATAATACTGTAATTGTTCTAATAACATTTTAATTTTATCTTGCCTTATTTGTACATCTTATAAGTATATCAATTGAAACTTTTGATTACAGAAGAAAAATGAACAAAAGAGAGTGGTGTTCAAAAAGGAAAAATACCAATGTATCTATGAGTATCCTCGAGAGGAGAGCGACAATGAAGAGGAAGAATTCAGCCCCGGAATGTGGCAGACGCCTACACCCGTCTTTGACTATTCAGTTTTTGCCGGTCAGTTTATTTTAACCTTTAACATTCTGTTTGAGTTCAATTAATTTGATTTTCATTTTGGATCATATATGAGTTCAATATTTTATTCACATTTCAGTGATTATCATTTATTTATTTAGATTATAGTTTACTTATGCTAGGATTCTTGCATTAAACATCTATCTTTCTTCCTAATATGTTTGAACTATAAGCGATATTAGAAAAAGATTTCAATTCATTCAAAGAATATATTAAGGAATGGGGTAGGTCCGTGGTAGGACACCGACTTCCAATGCTCAAGGTCCTAGGTTTGAGTCCGGCTGACAAGAGATAAATTATATATTCTATTTCATTGGCTGCTGATTGATCCTGGGGTTCATCTAGCCTCTATAAAGTGGGTAGCCTTAATTAAATGATTGAATATGGAAGAAAACCTGGTGGTTGAGTGTGATCTCAGTCAAATCACCTCCTTGCACTACTGTTGACCAAGAAACAGTACTCCCTTATAAAAGCATTGAACCCAAGACCTTTCATGGGTTGTAGTGGTACAGGTTTTTTTAAAAATAATATATTTTCAAGAAAGTAGGAGTAAATAAATAGTTTATGAAGCTGCATATAATTTATACCGACTGTTTTGAAATATCAGTTACTCTAAAGGAAAATATCTCTTTAGGTAAGCAATAAAATTTAACTGACCAGTATTGTATTTTTTTCGACCTTTAGGGTTGGCAAAGAAGAGCAGGAGCGTCGGGTTGTAGTTTTATCACTTATTAAAAGTGGAGTATAGAAGTCAGACATGGATATGAACTTCATCGCCATCATGGTCATATTAACAACCAAGAAAATTAAAAGAAATCTACAAGAATGTATTCATTTTTATTAAAAATATCAACATGTTTCTTTCTATTCTATCCTAGGTACTCAATGGATCTCAGAACTATTAAGCATTGTATACCTTTTCAATAGTTTTTTGTTTATTTTGATTTTATTGTAATAAGAAATTATTGTATTTTTTTTTGCTTTTTCTTTTGTCATATCTTGGTAAGAACCATATATAAAAGTGTTTAAATGTATTACTTTTTCTTATTGTTAGTTTTTTTTTTTTTTTGAAAGACCTTCCTATACAAAGTTTGGATCGTATACCTAATTAAAACAATTGATCATTACAAGATTACTTCTTAAATTTTTTTTAATTATCTAGAATTAAAATATATTGTTAACTTCTTATTTAAAGTTCTCTACTTTGTAATTTATGTTATTTTTTTAATTTTGTCTCAGATTGGGAACTTGGAGATGGAGAAATAATATCTACTCCTATCGACAGTGTCGATAGTGATAGTGAAGAGAGCAAGAAACCTAAGAAGGAGGAAGCTGAATTTGATTTTTACAGGCTCGATTATAATCCCGGCCCACGTAAGTTTATTTTATTATAAGTTACGTACTTTGTACTCTTATTCAATTTTCTTCAATCTTGGTTCAGTAAATTTTTTTTAAACTATCAGCAGTAAATATATGTATCATTTCAAAATTATGGGTCATTCTTTTTGTTGCTGAGCTTTGGGAGGCAGAATCTTTAGTAGGAATTTCCCATTTTCTTAAGTGTAGTCAAAACCCTACAAAATGTGCAAAAAAGAAGCAACAAAATTGGTTCAGCAGTTCCTGAGAAAATCTTGGCACAGACAGACAGACCAATGGCTAAAAATGTGTTTTTCGGACTCAGGGGCTTCTGAAACGTATAGTTCCATCGAAAACCGCATATCGGAAATTTGACCCGATTGCAGTACTTTCCTCACCTAGTATAGGTAGGAAAGTAATAAGTTAAAAAATGTGTAAAAAATAGAATAAGCCATATCGTTGCTAATACTGGTTCGATTCCGATGATTTTTTGTTTTTGTTTGGTTGGTAATTTAATTACCTGTCAACAGTTCTATTATAAATTTTACCATATAATATATACTTAGGGAGTTAGGCCCCATAGCATTTTTCTTTTCTTTTTAACTTTTTTTCCTGAATTTTTTCGGGAATTTAGTTTATATACAAAAATTGAAAGGGCAATGATTAGAACATTATAGGAAAGTTTCATCAAAATTGTTAGAGCCGTTTTTGCGCTATAGTCTATAGAAAAACATGTTTTTAATTTATTGCGTGAAAGCTATTGCGCACGGAGCACCGAATTTCTGTCACAGGCATCAATAGTCAAAACCCTACAAAAGAAGCAACAAAATCGGTTCAGCAGTTCCCGAGGAAATCTTGGCACAGACAGACAGACCAATGGCTGAAAATGTGTTTTTTGGACACATGGGGTTCTGAAACGTATAGTTCCGTCGAAAACCGCATATCAGAAATTTGACCCATTGCAATACTTACCTTATCTATTATAGGTAGGAAAGTATTAAATTTCACAAATGAAAAAGCTTTTTTTATAAGAAAAAAAAGTATCAATATTTTTAATATATCAGGGATATTTATGAATAAATTATTATCCCCTATAATAAAAGTGTAAAAACCCACAAAACCCAAATTATGTTTCAAATATCTGGATTATAATGATATACACTGACAGGCAAAAAATTCCACCCACTTGATTTTTTCATGTTTTCATCTAAAAATATTTCTACTTTGGATTGGTCTATTGTTTTTAATGAATAAATAGGTAATATTTTTGTTTGTTTTCAATTAGGAATCTTAATATAGAGGACAATAACCCTTAATCCTTAATTAAATGAAATGATTCTAGATTCTAATGTTTATTTTCTATGGAATCAAAATGTTTATTCAGTATCATTAGTTCAGTGCCATTTGACCAGTTGACCAGAACTCACAGAGTAACACGGCTGGCTTTTGCTCGAGAATACAGCCATTGGACTATGGACGAATGGAGTGCTGTACTTTTTACTGATGAGTCAAGATTCGCTCTGCGATCTCCAGACGGGCGTGAAAAGGTGTGGAGAAGAAGAAACGAAAGATATGCAGCCTGTAACTTTTTCCCATAGCCAACCTTTCAATGTGGTTCCTTAATGGTGTGGGCTGGGATTTCAATGGAGCGCCGCACAGGATTGGTTGTTCGTGAAGGGTCTTTAACGGCCATTCGCTATGTAGATGAGATTTTGGAACCTCATGTGTTGCCTATCTTCAATGAAATCGGCGATCGTTCTATTTACACATCTATCTACGATAATGCATGCCCACATGTTGCCCGCATAGTGCAGATGTTCCTTCAAGAGAACAATATTGAGGTTTTAACCTGGTCAGCACGTTCTCCAGATTTGAACCCCATTGAGCATTTATGGAATAACCTTGGAATACGAATAAGAGCGCGTGCAACACTTCCTGATACACTGCAGGACCTTGAAAGGGCTCTTCGGGAGGAATGGGCTATCCTCCAGCAAAGGGACATTTCCCGACTGGTGGAAAGTATGCCGAGGCGTCTTCAAGAAGTAGTGAAGGCAAGAGGAGGAAACGCGCTACTAAACGATGATGTAATTAATTTCTTTTAGAATAATAATGGTCCGTTTTGTAATCTTGAAAACATTGGAATCTAGAATCATTTCATTTAATTAAGGATTAAGGGTTATTGTCCTCTATATTAACATTCCTAATTGAAAACAAACAAAAATATTACCTATTTATTCATTAAAAACAATAGACCAATCCAAAGCAGAAATATTTTTAGATGAAAACATGAAAAAATCAAGTGGGTGAAATTTTTTGCCTGTCAGTGTATATATACATTTATAATGGTGCCGGAATGATCGAACCAGGTAAGGTATGAGCAAATGACATTCTAAGTTAGAGTGTGATAAGCTGGGTGACCATCCATTGAAACTTGATGGTGGCTGAGATTCCCATCCCACACAGATATGTGAGGTCTGTGAGGATACTGGGGGTAACTCACATCGGCTGGGCATACGAATGATGACTGTACTCTATGTAAGAGATTGGATATATAATGTCCTCAAAGATCAATGGTTTGCCAGCTCATGTTCTTTTCCTTTTACTTTAATAAATTGTTTGACTTATCTTTTTTTTTTTTTTTTTACAAATGTTTCTGCCCTTTAGAACTAGAAAGGCCGTGGAGCGACAGCTTGCCGGAGGATGATACAGATTTCTCTCCCCTTGCTGCGGACCTCGCTCCTGTACGTCTTGGCGATCTGCGCCATACTAAAGCAACGTTGCGCCTTGAGCTGCCTCAGTTGCGACCAGACCAAGGTGAGGCTTCCATCTTGGACTCTGTCTCAGATGCGCCACCATAGCCGACTGGCGACAGTTCCCGTGTTGGCGCGAGGATCTGCAATAGAAGATCTGCCTATCCATTGTCCTATAATCTTTTGTATAGCAGCGTACTATAATTTTAGATCTGATTACGTAATAAGAAACTGTCTTCTTTGTTGGAATCTAGTTGGTAACGTAGAACTCTTGTTACTATTTAGGTATTTTGACATTTTTTTTTATTACTATGTCAATATAGATTTTAACTTTTCTAATTAAAGTTGTAAATGAGTACAGAGATAAAACTACCACATTCATCCATGTATATTTCTGATGAGAGTGAGGACTTGATATTTTTTCATTGTTCTAATAAATTTTTCTATTCGACGGGTAGGTATCTAGATGGAATATAGATAGTGGTTAGCTAATTAAAAACAGTTTGCTAACGTGTAGTAAGATTGTTTCAATTTAGGGATATCAGCTTTATACCAAACAGAATGAGTTTATTTATATATGTATAGAAAGAGATGTTTATATATATGTGATGTAATTAAGTTTTAGTGTATGATTAGTTGATTTGATTTATTTTGTTATGTTATCAGCGTGAAACCTCTCATCTTTATGTCTACGTAAGTATGTTGTAAAAAGGGTTGTTTTAGTAAAAAAAAAAAAGAAAAAACAAAAGAAAAAAGTCAACTACGAGATGCTTTCTTGTATATAAAAAATTCTTAGTTTGAATTTCCCGCTCTGATCAGTAGATATTAATAATGGTTATTCTTGTATTTTATTTCTTAATTAGGAGTTAGGGTTTGTATATTGTTATAAAATTCTTTAATATTTTTTAAATGAAAAATCTATGTCAATCGGAAGTATAGCACCGATAAGAGAATAGAGCGGGAATCATCCAAGTCATGGAAATGGTGAAGTACTATACAAATATTTTGTATATTTAAAGTATGTATACTCTTTATTTTTCTTTTATTTTTTTATATATATATTATAATTGTTATGGTTATTTATGTATCTATATATATATTGAGAGTGAGAGAGAAAGATTAGCGCGTGTACAGAACGATTAATAAAAAAAAAAAGTCGATATCAGTATTTGGTTAAAATTTGCGTTTCCTTTAAATCGTTGAACAGCAAGATATGTGATATTAATTCCAGCCCGTCCAGACATCAAATATCATGATTCTTATTAATATTATTTTAATTTTTTTTTTTGTTTTACATAATTTCTATTTTGATGTTTTGGATTATATTCAAGAGAGCTCTGTAGTCTTTATATGGTTTATGTATTAAAGTTTTCTTTATTTATTTATGTTTAAACTTCATATTGTTCTTAGTATTAAAATTTATTGTAATTTTTATTAGAATCTCACGTACATGAAACTAAAGAATTTTAATTATGTTATTAAAAACATATTTACAGGTGATTTTTCTTTTTCTTTTCTTAAATCTTATTTTATTAAAGTTAGTTAAAATATATTATATCTTAAGGCTCATGATATGTTTTTGTATCTCTTTATTTTTGTTTAAGAGATAACATGTAATTAGTGGTTTGTATTTTTTTTTTTAACAAAAAAAGAAATCTGTTGAACAGTTGTTTTTGTTGTGAAGTATTTGATCGAAGAAATTAGGCTGTGCATGGACATTTATCCGTTTGTATGATGATCGAAGTCACTGAATTTTCCAGTCAGTAAGTATAAATCTCATTCTTGATCTAAGTAGTTTGCCATTTCATGTTTTTAGTGGGTAATTCTAATCATGGTGTCGAAAAGAAATGTTTGGAGAAGTATCCAGTGACAAACTTAGTTTCACATTTCGAAAAAGTTCCTATTTTGTCCAAAATAAAAGTTTTAAAGAGACAGAATTTATTTTTAATAAATTTTTTATAATCTCTGGCTGGAAAATTTTCATATATAAAGAGGCCGTTTCTTTTATAGGATATGGTTTTTTTATAGGCCTACAGTACAATTTTTCACTATTGCATACTTTTTTTCTTAGGTTTAGGCTTTTTATAATTATTATTTTGATGAAACATTCTAGTGATGTTTCAGTTCTTGCAATTTATAGCATGTATAGACATTTTTAACCGTGGCTTGTTAACCCTTATTCTATTAGTTTCTGTTTTTTAAGGATAGATCAGAAATTATTTTTCATACGACAGTGCTTGATCTTTTAGTTTAGATTAAAAAAAACAAAAAAACCAACTAATATTTCACATATAATACCAAACTTAATCACATGTTTTTACTGATTAATACTTTTAAAATCAATAATAGACTTGGTAATAACGCAATACATGTTCTATTTTAAGCGAATTTTATGAGTGATATAAAATTTATTCGAGAGGTATCTTAGGAAGCAGAAAACAGAAAATAATTCAAAAATGAATTCTAAAAATAAGCTCTGAAATTTTGGTTGCAGAGTAGTATAAATTAATTTTATCTGAATTGATCACTATGCTTTGTTTTATTTATTCTTAAAAGTTTTTGGAAAGATATATAATTTTCCTTTGTCTTCAGGAAGGTCGAGTTTCTATAAAACTATAACAAAAACTTTAAGTAATTTCTTAGGATGTGAATCAACATTATAATAATAAATAATGGATGGGAAATTCTGAGAAAGGTTCAAATTTATTCTAAATTTAATTTTAGCTGTTTCATGACAATTTTTATAAAATTTTTGCTACTAATTATTGTTAATAATACATTAATAATTTTATTAATGGTAACGATATATTTAAAAACGTTTTATTTTCATTGTTAAAATGTTACATGCTTTTAAAAATATACCTATGTAATCAGTTTTAGTACATCATTAATACATATTGCATTTTAATTACTGGTTCTGTGTGCTTAAAATATATATCATAAAAAATAAAAAAATCAATTTTGTTCTTTTGTTTTCTGCTTGCCTATGTGATAGGTAATTTAACTATTTATTCAGTAGTTTACGGATACACGTATATACGTACGGTTATTAAGTGTATAAGCTTTTTTTTAAAAACTTTTTATTTAACTCAAAATTCTCTGTTGTACATAACTTCTGTTTCCTTATCAATCTCTTCAATTACAGGTTTATTTAGATTAAAATACGGATTGATCAATCAGGATATCAGTTAAAATATTTTTGAATTTAGTTTTTTCTATTTCTCCATTAAATATATTAATGAAAAAATTTACTTTTTATCAATCATATTAGTTTTTTACCAGTTTAAATTATTACTAGTATACTTGGAAATAAGGATGTGTAATTGAATGATAAGAAAAAAATGATCTAAATTAAAATTATTAATCATGATATAGAACGGTCTTTGAGTGGAGTGTATTTGTTAGAGTTTTTAAAAATATCTGCTAGACACAATGTATAATTTGGTTTTGTTCTTTATTGATTTGATTTTAAATTTTATTGTATTATGCTTTTCTTGGTTTAATTCTATTGTTTAGCTAAAATATGTTGTGTATTTTATTTTTGTTAATAAAAACTCAAAAAATTGATTTAGTGTTGAAATTTTGTTGTAGATTTGAAAGTAGAGAGTAGTTGGTCAAAATTTGATATTGTTAGTTCTCTAGACAATATTTTAAATATTTTATATTTTAATGAAGGTAAGTTATTTTAATATTTTTACTCTCCGTTACTTATTAACAGTGGCATCTCTCCCCAGGATCCGCTAAATCTTATGTATGGAATGTATTATAAGGGGAAGTATTGCTATTTTAGAAATTTTCAACAGAAATACATTTTAAAGTGGTGTTTGTCCAAATAACTAAACCTCACAAAGTGATCTGTTTGTGAATAACCTAGCTCAATAACAAAAAGTCACATGAAAGTCAAATTCAAAATTTAATTATATATATATATATATATCTATCTATCTATCTATATATATATATATATATATATATATATATATATATATATATATATATATTTTTTTTTTTTTTTTTTTTATTGAAAAATATTACAATCTGTCTCAAGGACATTTATAATAGTGTTAACAGATAACATTCACACTCTATGTACAGGAAATAAAATAAATATACAGAAAAATAACATATATACAATAAATAAGAATAAAATAACCTAAAAATAAATAAATAAAAAGAACACATACATACCTATATACAATATTTACAATTTGGTGAGGGAACTCCAAACCAGACTTGTTTATGCTTTTCCCTCCACACTTGGAGAGCCAAGTGTGGAGGGAAAAGCATGGCTCCAGGAGATCCCAGCACTTCTCTCTCAACCGCGTCACTGGTGCTAAACCCAGTGGAGATTGAGCAAGAGTGCTTAAGCCACATACATTCATGTCGTGAGTGGAGAATCTGGCCATTGCCAGAACAGAAAAAAAAAAAAAATAAATAACATATATACAATATATATATGTTAAATATATATTAAAATTTGTAGGTTAGAACTTCACCTTAATAGTTATAATAAAACCACATATTTGATCATTATAGTCATATTTTATTTGTGTGTTTTTTACATCAATGTTTCAGCCCTTAGGCCATTTTCAAGGGAAGAAACTATTTTAAAATAATTAAAAATCATTATGGACTGAATATCCCTTGTCAACTTCATTAAATTAGTCACATTTATTGACTAATTCAATGAAGTTGACTAGAGCAATATGATTTTTAATTATTAAAGTAGGTTTCTGCCCTTGAATGGCTTAAAGGCTGAATCATTGATGTAAAAAAACAAAAAAAACATTTTTTTTAAATTTTTATTTCTTAATGACATTTACAACTGTATTACATAAATACATCAAGTAAATTTGGACATAATAGATATAATGACATGAATACACTTGCTGAGTAACTACCCAATGGTAGCACTCTAATGATATGATTGCATTAGGAGATCACGGGACCATCTTCTTTTCAGACGCCTCGGAGGGTTATCAGGAATTGAAGAGGAAGCAAGGTTAGAAACGAGAGGGTTGGGATGATTCTGAAGTTTATTATGGAAGGATAGGTATCTGGATTGGGCCAGATCTGAAACATAAGGAACATTAAGATCTTTATGGATAATTTTATTAGTGACAAAGTAAGGAGCATTGAGGATTTTACGAAGGATTTTGGATTGTAAGGATTGGATGCGAGAGGAATTCGATGGTTTAGTGGAGCCCCATAGTTCAACTCCGTAAGTCCAAATAGGTCTTATTATAGTCAAATATATGAGTCTTTTGTAATTAATGGGAAGTTTAGAGCGTTTGTCTAGTAAGTGCTGAAGTAATCGGAAACGTCGAGCGGTTTCTTGTTGTTTCAGTCTAGTATAAAAAAAAAAACCCAAAAAAACAAAAAAATAAAACAATTAAAGTAGGATTATGGTAATCAAATATGTGGTTTTATTATAACTATTACAAATTTAAATTAGGTATATTAAACTCATTTATATATACGTAGTCCTGTCATAAATAGTGTTATAAGGAAATATATATATAAATTCCAACAGAAAAAATATTTTTTTCAAAAACTTTATTAGAAAATAAAATTTATAGGTATAGAGAGTAAAACAAAAATGAAATTGCTCAAAATATCCCCCTTTTGCCTTGACAGCGACAATTAATCTCCATGGCCAGTCATCAATAGCAGCACACAGCACTTCTTGAGGTAAACGCTCAACTGCTTGGACCAAAGATTATTTGAAGCTTTCCAAGTTAGGGTGTGCCCTGTGGAATGCCATCCTCTCTAGTTCGGGGCAAAGCCATTAATCTAGTGGGTTGAGATCAGGGCTTCCTGAGGGCCAATCTGAGGCAGAGATGAACTCTAGAATGTTCTTTTGCGGCCACTGCTGAGTTTACCTAGCCTTGTGAGCTGAAAAACCCAATGACTTCCAGCAAACAGAGTATCATTTAGGGCTTGACAACAGGTTCCAAAATATCGTCCTGTTTGTTTTTAGCGGCTGTTTTAACTCCTTTTTTACAAAAGCCATCAAAGCTAATTCTCAACCAAACCCTCGCTGTGGAAGGGTGATTACATCTTTCCACTCTTCCAATGACTTCCTTGGCTTCTTTAAAGCTGTGTACACACGATCATTTTGGTGATTACATTTTTCTACAATTGTAAAAATTTTCTCATCGCTTAACAAAATCTTTCAATAAAGACCATTGATGTAACGACCAAGGAGCACTTTGCATCTATCCACTCTAATTTTTTTTTAGGGAAGTGGTTAGCCTTTGTTCTGTCATTCTTCGAAATGCACCCATCCTAAGGTCACTTTTTATTATGCGAGACATTGATCTTACAGAGATTCCCATTTTCCAAGACATGATTTTTTCGAATGGGTTTATTCTGATTCGACCAGCCACTGATCTCACTGCATTTTCCGTTCTTACAGTACGAGGACAGCCTGGTAGAGGTCTGTCACATACAGATAGGGTCTCATTATATCTATTTATAGTGCGGCACACGAACATACCGCTGGTACCCAAAGCTTTCAAAGTGTTGAAAATCTCTGACCTACATTTTCCAACATTGTGTAAGGCGTTCATAGCTATTATGGTTTTCTTTATCACCCCACTCCATGTTAACTGAGAGAAAGAAAAATACAAACTAATTAGGATTATTATCCTGACATGTAAAGAAGATAACCTAATAGAGGTAAGGATCGTCTAAATAATGCCCAAGGATGTAAACTAAGTTCAACTTTTGAAATAGCATTTGCAGCCAAACTAGGTATATAGGTTGTAGGCATAGAATCTAGAATGAGCGTGGTGGGAAGAGGAATGTACCCAGGTGTCCCCGCTATTTGCAAAGGTATCCAACGGTACTCAGTACAAGGGATTTTCCTCGCTTTTGACTATTATTTAACAATTAAACCATCTGTTACATTAGTGTTTATTTGTTCATGACCAAATATTGTTAATTGTATTACAACAGGGTTAATTGTAGTTTATAAAATGAGTAGGTAGCATTTGATTTTAAGATTCGGAAAATTATTAATCAAGGCTTGCCTATCGTTAAATCTTTCTTTAAAATTGTTGCTCATATTCACATACGGAAAAATGTTTTCTAAAAGAACCAATAGCCAAAAAATATTTAATACTTGCGAGCTATAAGTTTCTACTTCATGAAGAAAAAATTATTGTATTAAAATGAGGAACACATTTCTGTACCAATTATTATGTTGCTCAATATTATTATGTCGCAATTATATTGTTGTTTGAGTGTTTAGGAACATATTTTTAATATTTTTTTAGAAGGTAAGTCAGGACCAATTTTTTGAGTTGAGTTCTTGTCATTGTCGAATAATTGCAGGTTAAGTAATTGGTGAGGGTGCCCTCCTTGTCCCTCCAGTGAAAAAGAAAATTTTATTTCTGGAATGATTTTATTTATTACAATGCAATTAATTTATTATAAAAAGAAATAAGTAGTTATTTCATATATTGAAACTCATTTTTCTTAAATGGAAGCACAAAAGAATGCTCCATGACCCCTAGAAAGTCTAATAATGCTACTAATTGTATTATTTCGTATCTTTGGCTGTGATTGGGGATTTCATGTGAAGTAGTGTATTATGTAATACTTGGAATAATATTATTCCAAAAATGTTACTTATGATAATTAAAGACATTGATTATGAAACTTCTCAATTAAGGGGCTGTGGTTCGGAAATGTAAGCTGTAGTATAACCTCCCTTTGTTTTTACTGCTTGTCTAAAAGAGATTTTAAGATTACTACAAACTCACAACTGGTTATTTTCAGTTAAAATTAGCTTTAATTAATCATCTTTTTTTTTTCAACTTCCACTCGTTTAAAAAATTTGAACGAAGACCCAATGGGTCCTTTTTAGTTGATCGAGACCTTACCAGATAGTTCGGTCGCCTCCATCTACTTTTGAATACTGCCATTTTTGGAATTGCTGTAATATAATAATATGATCCTTGTGTCATCCATCAGATTAAAGCTATACTTGTCAATTAGCACCTGTTTAGGATTTAACATTTTCAGTATAGGCTTCATTTGATGAAAATACTTCGCATATAAGTGCATTTTTCTTTAAATGATTTTTATCGTTTTTTTTTTTTTTTAACCATTCACAGAACAACTTGAAAATGTACTGAAGGCAATTGTCACTGGCAGTTGTTAAAAAAGTCTATCCCCACCAGGTGCTAGCCTCTGGAATAGGAAAGGATATGAGATATAAAACAGAGTATTCTTTCCAAAGCCTGTCTTTGGAAAAAGAACACAGTGTCCTTCCAGACCTAGAGTTTTTATAGTACAAATTACAAATATCTATTCAAGAGAAATGTATAGAAACTGTAGTGTATTTGTTGGAAGACAAACTAGATTTTATTTAATATTTAATTATTTATTGAAACCTTGCTGTGCCTTGTAGGCAATACGAGTGTAAGATGTCAGTCATAACATGCATTACTGCATAACATCTCACTACTGCTAGTAAAAGTTATCTACCTATTTTTCTTTTTTTAGGAAGCCTACGTTTATATATTTTTTCACAATTAAGGCAAAAAAATTTCCTATTTTCTTCATATCCCTTCATT